GTTGGATGTTTTTGCCAGGCTCTCACCTTCCCACTAAGTACCTTTTTTTTTGCCAAATTGGCTTAATTTGAATACAACAACAAATATTGTCCAAACACTTTGTTGCCATAGGAAATAATTGTCTACTAAAAATATGTGACCACTGAAATTATTGTTACCCATAACATGATTTCAAAACAGCCATGGCTGTTTCTAGAGAGCAAAATTGGAACCTTTTATCAGCTTCCTCCAAGCATGTGGAGAATGTTTAATATTGTAAAATCTGTTGGGTGGAGTTATTTTCAGAGGCATTAGAAAATAAATGTCTCTTTCTGGACCTCTTTATCTCAAAGAAGAGCTCTGATTCACTTGGAAGAATACTAACTGCGTGTTCACCAATTGAGATTGGCTGTGGCTCAGTGGAATAGTGTGCTGGACTTGGGGGATAGCAAGTTCGAGTCCCACTGCGGTCAGCATGTCATTGTGTCCCTGGGCAAGACACTTCACCCCAAATTGCTCCTGTGGGGATTGCCCCCAGTATTGAGTATGTAGGTCGCTTTGGATAAAAGCGTCTAACAAGTGACATGTAATGTAATGTAAGAATTATCTTGTTTTGCCTGTTCAGAATATTTGGAAGTGACAAAATAATAACTGAATGTTTGGGATGTATCTCCCACTGATACTGTTGGTGTGTTCTTGCTGCTCATATTTCAATAAACAATTCTACATCAACTGAGACAGGGCCGTATTGAACCTACTGCGTAAACTGTCAGGCTAGTAATTACATCCTATATTTAATTTCAGATTAACTAGGTGATGTCTTGTACCGTGTGCACAATATTGCCTTCACACATCCCCAGAATGCAATTACCTGACTGGGTCAATGAACAAGCAGGAACACAGTCAGACACACACCACCCTTCGATTAAAGTGATACAGCCGCTACACGATACGCCAGGATGCCTCACCTTGCCAGATGATGGCAGGCATGCAGAACACTCGGCACTATTAAAGCTTTGTGACCCTTACTGCCAGCCTGGAGGTGTTGGTTTTTGGGGCAAGATGAGAAAGTGTGCAATGTAATGATAATTTACTATCCTGCAATTGTCAGGTAATCCAACACAGAAATCCTATTTGGGGATTATATCAGGTACAATTCTGTAAAGTGCAAAGCTGTAATCCTGTTCAAGTTATGAAAAACAGTAAAAGGCTTCTCTAGGAAACTAATCAGAGAAGCACATCTACAGCTGGTGTCGTGGAATAGACTGTGCTTTTCCGATGTGATGTTGGTTTGCTATAATGTCCCATAAATAGACCCTGAATCTACTAGCTACTACCGCTACACTTCACTGCCTAATAAACAGTGAGGTTAGTTGTAGCTTGGTTTTTGTTTTGGTCATGCTGTCTTTCATACGTTATTACTTATATCAATTTTCCCTTCCCACAGAAATATCCTTTTGATATATATTTAACAAGTATTCTTTGCATTAGCCTTACTTTAATTGTGTGTTTGTACCTGATATAGTGATATTGACCTGATCCATCAAGGACCCCTTCTTAAATGGCAAACCCTTTAAAAATGTCATTTGTTCTGCTCCTTTTCATTATTCCCCCAAGGCTGACACTATTACAATTGAGAAGAAAATAACACCTCGCCATTGGTCAAACATGGCCCCCTGATGGCTGTCTTCTTGTGTGATGCTTTTGTTGCGTCTGCTAACTTGTCTTCCGAGTCCTCAATCAGTTTCTCATTTGTTTGTTAACCATACAGAGTTTGACAGAGGTGCCTCATTTGTCAAGGTGGTGATTACACCCCTGCTACCAAAAGTCTATTTAGACATTCACCATATCGCCAACCAGTGGGGAAATAGCCAATGATGGATCTGATTATGTAGTCGATACTGAATGAGGCATTACTGGCTTATAAACAGCAATGAAGCCCACTTAGTCATGCTGATGATGATGACCCTGTCTCAACAGGAAACTGGTAATCAGTGAAACGGACCTTGATTAAAAATAATTACGATGCCTGCAGGGGGCCCAGTGCGATCTAGAGTGCACAATATGCCACTCTTAATTTAAATTTTTGATTTGAGATATGATCTGAGGGGTTGATATGGGGGCCCTTTTTCCCCATTCGTCCCCCCTAGCTATCCATCCAATTAATTTTTTTCTGGTATTAAAATGTGTTGCTCATTTGCTGGTGCTTGGAAATGTTGCAGTGGAATCACTAGTCATCATGTGCTCTGTGGCCTGAGACCATATTGGCAGCTATGCATTAAATTGCTAATGTGCCTGGAAGAGCTACATTACCTGCCCCATCAAAGTGACAAGGGCAAAGATAAAGCACTCCGCCCGACTGTCCCAGAGATCATTGGAAAATGGGTTTCGTGAATATGGCTTGGCAGAGCGCAAAGTTGTCTTTTACAATGCTTTCTTTGAATTGGTTGTGGTTCTGCTTCGCTGGTTTGACAGCTGCAGAACAATGAGGCAAAAGTGTTCGACCAGCTCCACCTGCATTCAGAGTCCCGCTGTGGTAGAAATCTCACACACCGCTGGCTCTGCACATTTGTAACGTTATGTTTCTTTGCAAACCCTTGTATTTACGAAAATAGTCTCACAGAATGGAAGAACGGTATATGGCCAGACCACACGCTGATTTTAAAGAACAGTGTTGTTGGCCACTGCAGATTGTATGTATGTATTGCATGCAGTAAAATAAGCCTTGGTGGATGGAAGTACTAAGCTCCGATGGAAAAGATTGAATGAATAAGAATACAACAACTGAGATACAACAAAGCTGGGAGTGTATTCTCTTCTGTGTGACTCTCAGATGGAAAATAATGTGTGTTTGTCATAGGCTGTGTTGTTACCAAGTTCAGTGCCCTTGTCCTAAGGTCGTTGAGTGATATGATATAATTGACATGACAGCTACTCAATATAATTCCTAGATCACCCAACAGGAATAATGCCTATTTTTAACCTTTTTATTTTTTATTTCCCCTTTAATTTGATTCAAGGGATAGACAATATTGCACATCTAATTTACAATCATGTTGCTCCCATTGAGTAACTACTTTTTATAAAGACATTGAAAAATCACTCTCTTCAAAGATTGCTTTCTATTCCTGGACAATCAATAGAGAACATCTCATTGAATTGTGTGGGTTTTCAGGTCAAGTTATCATTTCTGTTGAACTTGACTGCTTCAGAATTTAAAACACTTTTTGACATGCATGTCAGACACACAGTTGTTGGGTTGTTTACAGCGGAGTCAGTTATTGTAAAAGTTGGATCTTTTAGGATGCATGGTGCTCAAGTTGAAAACAAGACACACGGTTTCAGCATTTGGTGTTAAAATGACTAATGTCTTGCAACTGCACGCTCATTCTGGAAACAAGGGCTGACATGGGGGGGGGGGGGGGGCTCTGCATGAGCGAGGAGAGCTCTGGCTTCAGGTGCGATGTGAAGGAAGGTAGAGCTCCGCGCACCGTGTGATGATTAATGAGTCGCACCTCACGCCAGCACACTGTCTGTTCATGAGAGTAGTGGTGCACACTCCAGCAGCTTTGCAACAACTCTGCTGTTGCATCTCCCTAGCACAGAGACACACACACACGCGCACTACTGCCCACTGAATCTCAAGCTGTTGAGAAGATGGAAGTGAAATGCTGTTGATTTGCTCTGGGGCTGTAGACAGGCCTGTGTTTCTCGCGTACCTCTTTTTGTTTGTTTCTTTCCAGCCCATGATTAACTTAGCCTTAATTGCCACAATGACCCTGGCATTTATTTGCTCTGTCATGAGATTCCTGTGAAATGTTAAGCACTCTTGGGTCATAGGCCAAGGGAACAATTAATAACATTTTGGTACAGCTCTGGATTCAGGTGCAGATCCAATTATTTATTGTACCGATTTATTGTATTAACTATTTCATGTCCATGATAAAGAAATCTGGTACTTGATTTTGATTGTCTTCTTGTGCACTTTAATACAGATCCGCTTAGTAATCTATACAAATATTTACACATTACATGTTGTATGAAATGTGCAGTTTGTTATACACAATTGTGCATTTGGGTTACTACATGTATTTTAAGATGTATGTGAATGTGAGCAATTGAATATAATTTTCAGTTCCTCACTGTAACCTTTCTATCTCTCTTCACTATAGATATTTGACTCTTAATAGAGTCCTAATAAAAGAACCTCTCTTGTGTGTAAAAGAGCTGATTAGCCTGCTAGATGATCGCCTGTCCTCTCTGCTATACGGCCAGAACAGCTAATTGTCCGTTAGCAAACTGCTCTGCCTTGCTATAAGGTCTATATGCATGAGGTGTCTTACATGAGGTATATGGCCCTCTGAACATATTAGGAAGCAACCTACATTAATGAGCTGTGCAGCGAGGAAGGTGTGCAGAGCACTGGCAGCAGTCTTCTTTACGGTGTCAGCTCTTCTGCAGCTTGACAGTGTTCCAACCCTCTCGGCTCACCACAGCTACAGTGTGAATCCAGGCATGTTTGCTGGGATATTCCCTATATTTATTTTCACAGGGTCCTTTTTTCTCTCTCCTTATTTCTTTGTTCCAACACTATTCCAAATGCACGCCTTTGTCACTTCAGCACATGGCAAGGGTTACGGTTAGAAATGATCCGTGCAATAAGCAGGCTTTTGTTCAGAAAAATGCCACAATATGTGCGAGCGCCCTTCCTCTCCATTATTTAACCAAGGGCTGACCTGAGAGTTGTTGGCATCAGCACAAAGGCGCACATAGTGAATGAAGGCATTATTTTCTCTTTTTTTAACGAGGCAAATTCTCTGCCGCTTACCCAATCAGACCGCCTTCAGAAAACCTGGAAATTAAATAACCTTTTTTTCCTCGACTAAAGTGTTTTTGGTCTGTCAATGAGCATAAAATGTTTGCAAAATATGGTCTTCAAATGGAAATGGATATCTCTTTGTGTAATGTTGTTTTGTGCTATACTCAACTCGCCCTCTTCTCTTTTTCTTCTGTCATTTTAGGTTCAATTACAGATCAACACACCATCTCACCACAAATGGATTCTACGAGTTCCTCAACTGGTTCGATGAAAGGGCTTGGTACCCCTTGGGCAGGATCGTTGGTGGCACCGTGAGTTTCTCCTCAAATAGATGCTTTTAAAAATGTTCTCTCTTTGTTTCATTGTTCAGCAACTCAACGCTAACTTTAGAGGAATACATCCTTACTCAGGTTCTTGTGAAGGAAAACGCACGATTGAAATAAGATGAGACGGTGAGAGGTGGTTTGCATTCTAAAAACAGTGAGAAAAGATATGCTCCAGCTCTCGGTGTATCACTCAGCTCAGCCGCTCCTGGAGGTCTTATTTAAGGGTTCTGGAAAGGACGCTCCGGGCGATTGATGAACCACAGTTTGAAGAATGGCAGCGCGGCTTCAGCCCTGGTCATGGAACCTCTTAAATCTCTTTAACCTTGGAAGAATACTGGAGTCGTCACAGAGCTTGCCCATCAATGTGTGTTTTTTGTATGTGGAGATTCCTTAAAAGCATGCCCTGCAGTGTTGTGTATCGAGGAAGAGATATATGAGATGCCTGGGCAACTGAGGCAAGACTAGCATGCCAGAACCAGAGCTGCGTACGTATCCACAGCAATAAGTCAACAATATTTTCAGAAGATGCCCTTCTCTGCCAAGGTTTTTCCCTAATGATTTGTTATGGTAGAATCTAAAAGCACAGCTGAGGTGTAGAGAGGTTCCACTTGTTTTAGGATTGTGTTCCCACATTTTGCTGATGATGTAGCGTCTTTGGCTTAATCAGACTTTGACCTCTGGTGTGAACTAGCTTGCTTTCCATCAGGCTATAAAACGGGAAGAGAGTCAGCAACTCCCAGTCTTAGGACATACCACTCTGCTAGATTGCCCCTTTAAGGTTTTGAGTGAGGGAGTACATTTATATATTTTTTCATCAGTGAGGGTAATATGGATCCTTAGATCCACTGGCAAATTGGTACCGAATTCCCAATGTTCTGGCTGAACGGAGTTAAGCCTGAAGGCAAAGCTCTGGATTTACTAGTTGATCTCTGGCCTGTAGTCATGAGCTCTAGGTAGTGACTGGAAGAATGCAAACACATATTCAAACTACTTTAATAACTTGTTCACTTATTCTTTGGGAATCTGATAATGAATGGTCCTGCATACCTCTCTATGGAGAACGTCCAAGACTGTGCACATGGGAAAGGATCCAAAGCAGAGCCAGAACATTTTGGAGGGATTACACATCCCACATGGCTGGTTATGCTTTGGGAGATGCTGGCTGGGAAAAGGAAGTCTGGGCTTCTTTGCTAAGCAAGCTGCCATTGTGAATTTGACCTACTTAAGTGGCAAAAGCTGATAGATTGAGTCTTATTTTAGCCACGGCAGGAACTTTTGGGGGAATTTTCTTAATATTCTGTCTCAATCCCTCCTTATATGAAATGATTATTACAGCATCAAAATGGCCCCAATTCATCAGTAGAGTCACGCATTGAATTATGCAGGGAGGCTGTGGCTCAGTGGTTAGTGTGCTGATCTTCAGATCCCCACTGCACTCAGCATGTTGTTGTGTCCTTGGGCGAGACACTTCACCACAAATTGACCCAGTGGGGATTGCCCACAGTATTGAGTTTATTTAGGTCACTTTGGATAAAAGCGTCTAACAAGTGACATGTAATGTAATGCTTTAAATTATGACAAATGTTACCTGCAATAGAAATCGGAATCAGAATACCTTTAGTCCCACAGAGGGGACATTTACGTAGTTACAGCAGAAAAAAGAGCCACAGACGGCTTAATGTTACATATGTTACATGCATTGTACTAAGTTATGATATAATAAAAAATATAATAATACAAAAAAAAAAGTTACTTAATTTTCAAAATACACATCCTGTAACAGTTCTTAGGATTTAGCAGCCAGGTATATAATAGCACAGTTTTAATGGTATATATATATATATATATATATATATATATAGCATAGTTGGTTGGTATTTAACAGCAAGGGGTGTTATAGTGTGTGTGGGGGGGTGTATGGTTGTATAGTCTGACCACTGCAGGAAGGAAGGACCTGCGGTATCTCTCTGTGAGACAGCGGGGGTGCAGCAGCCTGTCGCTGAAGGAGCTGCACAGGGTGTCCTGGAGGGGGTGGGACACAATGTCCAGCAGGGAGGACAGCTTGGCTGCCATTCTCCTGTCTCCCACCACCTCCACAGTGTCCAGAGGACTCCCCAGGACAGAGCTGGCCTTAATAACCAGTCTGTTCAGTCTCTTCCATATCTCCTCCATATCGACATGTAGGCAATTCTACAGTTCACATGTCAGATACATTGTACAAGTAATACAATTTGCCTATACCTGTTGTTGTTTTTATTCATAAGCACATCAAGATTACTCATCGACATTGATGTAATATCTAATGTAGTCAGTATGTATGTCCTCAATAGTGGTTCATGCAAATAACTAAAGTAGGTCTTGAGTCTGTTGTCATTGGTATTCTCAGTACTGTATGTTTGTGGGGGGTAGGCTGGGGTTATCTGGGTTTAGGCAGCAAGGTGATGCAGAGATACCATAAGCCTCCACCAGGCAGCATGGATTTAAGTCACAATCCAGTGGCAACAGTGAGCTGTTAACCTGACAGATTCCCCAGGCTGCTACTGTCTCCCTGTTTACCAGCAGCAAGAGCAGTTTGAAACATTGACCCTTTTCAGTGAAAAATACAATGTGCCAATTCCACAAAATCCATCTCCCATTTCCCACGCCTCCCCTCCTCTGTGAATGATCTTCTTCCAACCTCATCTTCTCAGCACTGCATCCTCTCAACCGTGAGGCCGGTGTGAGTTAAACACCTTTGGCCCATCCATCTGCCCACTTTCCTTCTTACTTTTAACCAAGCTTTGTTAACCATCCAGGAGCACACCCTGAGATGTAATTGCATTACATATGGCTTGGTCTGGACTAAAGACATTCTTAGTCGACACTGATATGATTTGGCGATTTCATTAGATTGTGTAAAAATCGACAAAGAGGGAGCAGCCGTTGTTATAAAATATCAGGACTACATAACCCAGTGCCAAACAAATGTCACCAAGCGTTTCCATATTGGCTCAGTTTGATATGCTTGGAAAGACCTGGTGATTTCCTTTCTTGTTCTTCCCCTTCTCTGTGCATGCTGATTGGAGAGTCCTCTGCACAGTACAGGCAGCGAGGCATGTTAATTTAGTTCATTGCCATCATATGCTGTTATCATTACAGACCAAAGCAGATGGTGCAGTAGCAACACTACATGCTGAGGTTTGAATATAGTATGAACTACTGCAGCAAAGACGCCACAAATTGGAATTACAAAACCCCTCCCTCAGCATTTATCTGTCATTACTTAACTAATTGTAATTGTATATGACAGGCCTTGATTGTAATAATGAATGTGCTGGTTCTGTCACAGTACATGAATACTTGGGTTATGTAGTCCTTTACCCAATGGGTGGGGGCTGAAACTCTTGATTAGACTGGTAATCGAAATTGGAAGGTGAATAGTTAATTTGTATGACATTTAAAAGATCCTTGGGCTGCACAATTCTTTGTCTTCTGCATGCAAATAAACATACAAGGCTTTCCTCTGTACATTTCTATTTGCATTTCATGAATATAGGCGTAAAATGAAACACATGAATGCATTGTTATTCATACATACTGTTAATTTGATTAAGTTTAATGTTGAGCTGTGCTGATTTCTGCTCAATTTAACTTTCACTTGCAAGTTATTTCATGTTCCAGTCCATTACTATAATTGTTTTAATTAGCTTAGCAGTAGGGATGTCACAAGAACTGATAATTGCATTAGAGTTGCATAATGGTTTATTCTCCAATTAGTAAAATGAATATCAGGCAAATGTATATCGTATCTATTTGTATATTACAACGTTATTATGAGGTGTTCAAATGTAGTCTTTGCGAGAAACTTGAATAAATGCAGTAGTTTGAGGATGATGTTTTTACAGCAATATAAAATAGATGTTAGAACGATTTAATTTTCCTACTAAAACACTACGCAAAAGGACATAAAGGATTATAGTGTATGTTGTACATGCGATATATTTAAAGGGGACTTATCATGCAAAATGCACTTTTTGATGTCTTTTATACATAAATATGTGTCCCCGGTGTGTCAGGGAACTCACGCAGCGTCAGAAAATAAAACCCTCTCTTTTCCTCCGTACCTAAATCTCTAAAAACGGGGGTACAACGGAGCTGATCCAGATTTGCGTCCGATGTGACGTAACATCGGAAATGTGGACCCACGGCACTATCAGAAAGTTGCTATCGGAAACAATGCCCGACTGTTTTGGACGTAATATGGTCGGTGTTCAGCACTTTTGGAACAGGAAGTGAAATAGAGGGATATGAGGCACTAGTATAGCCTCAAATTAGACCCACATGCAAATGGAGGACGAGAGCTTCTGCTTTATCAGAGAAAGAGTTTTTTTTTTTACAATAGGTGCTGTGATGAGCAGTTACGCCATTGTATTCCTTCCTCTTTAGCAGAACTGCCTCCAAAAAAGTGTTGAGTGAGTCATTTCAGTGGGTAACATTTGTGAGGAGATTGCCTGGCCAGGATATGACCTGCAATGCAATTACCAAGCCATTACGGTGGTAATGTTGTCCCTGCATTTGGTGTTATTATTTTGTCGCTGGATGATTGATCCTCTGCTGCTATAGGGGATGAAATTGTTCTTATTGGAATCAACAAATGTAGTATACTGGAACCAATGGTTTGCCAAACTAATTGAAGTGATTTGACTGTCCTCAAGTCAGATGCACTACAGCAGAATGATTGGGGATGTTGTTAAAGGATGTTAAAGTCTGGTGAACACGAACAATGAACTGAGCCTAGTAAGTTTTACCGGTATTGTGTAGCTGAAGCTTGTTTTAGTGTATTTCACTGTGCCATTGTTGTCCAAAAACTACTTGAATATGGTATTTAGCAGCACTTTAGCACAGTATGACTTATTGTATGTTTTACTCCCAATTGAGTAACATGTGCTAGAAACTGCACTGATAGTCTCTCTCAGGAAATAACTGTAAATGTGTGTTTTTCTCCCCCCTTTTTCTTTATCTTCTTAAGCTTTACATTTTCAATTGGCACCAATGGGCTTGTATACAGTTTGCCAGCGTTGTCCTTTTAACAGACTACTTCTGCTTTCAAACTACATTTGACTTGGATGAAGTTTACTCCCAGATGGTCAGCCGGTCACATTCAAACAGCCAGCCGCATTCTGCCTCACAGGAATTCTGATAGCAGGTGGACGGGTCATTCGGTTGGCCATGCTCAATGCAAATAAATCCATATAACATGCAAATCTATGCAAAGTGGATCAAGATCTAGGAACTGCTGCTCGGACATCTGACGGAGCTAGAGCACAGGTTCAATACATTTCAGACTTTCACCGGCTGTCATTTCTATATAAGAGGCTGAGATGGGATCGTTTGCCGGAACAATCTAGTTCCTTTTTTCAAGGGCACGGTGATGGCAGTTGCTGGAGTAACAGAAAGCCACTCACTCATTTACTGTGTAGGCTAATTGTCAAAATCCCACTTGTTTGCACGACTGAGCTGGTTCTTTTTCTGAACATAGACAGGCTCCAGGGAAGAAGGGCATTTATTTTACTCCCACACTGCATTTGGTATCATAAAACAAATGTGTGCGAGCGCTTATTTGCATCAAACATATGCTTGTAAAACAGGGAGGCGTGTGGACAGAAACTGGTTTTATCTCAGATTGCTGCATTGTGCCTGTGTATCTTAGCCCATAGTGCAGCCACAAAGTTATATTCCCTCCTACACCTGTCTTGGCATTATAAAAACGTCAGTCTCCTTTCTCATAAGGAGATATGTTTCTGACCCTTCCAGCTGGAGGTGGGATTCATAAAACCACCGTTGCTCTAACACTAACAAGACTTGTATTTCTTCCGTTGCATGAAACCTTTTTTTATGCCTGCACTCTCGTTGACATACCCTGTCTTTCCTTTCATCCTCTATAGTTCATTTGTCCTCCTTTTTCTCCCAACCTCTGAGCTTCTTTATCTTTTATCTAGCCTCCTGTGCCTCTGTCTTTCTTTAAGTGTCTGGCTGTCTTTTCTCACCTCCATTGTGCCTCGTTTATTTTTGCCCTTTCTTTCCTTACCCTTACCCCCCCCCCATTTTTTTACATTAAAAATCAGACCGATGATCGTGACAGTCCTCATTAATTGTGTATAATAGCGTTAAGTCTCTGAGCACTCGGATGGGTCACACCGTTTGTAAGATGGACGAGCCAATATCAGTGAATGTGACAGTTTAGTGCCTTTCTGCATAGACCAGTCCAGCTGCACTCACCCTTTTTATTCCCCTTCTCACTCCCAGCCACCCTCCTCTCCCCAAAGCTGTCAGTTGCTCTTTCTCCTGAGCTGTAGATAAGGAAGAAAGGCTTCTCTAATGTGACAGTGCATAACAACAGCGGCCTGTCAAGCCAATAAACAGCTCTTTGTTGCCATAAGGACAATGACTCGAGTGCATTTTTGGTAACAGCTTTTGTCAGCCCTAGTTGATATTTTCATAACGAACAAGCGATGTGATGCATTTGGAATCCCAATTTAGCAAGAAGTGCTGGTAAATTATGCGCAAAGGTGTTATAGCCATCCAATGCCCGCTGTAATGAACATTCCCAATCATCTATGTAATGTTTTCAGAACCCGGACCCTCCCACAGAGTTTAGAGTGGCTAATTATTACAAGACTAGTTTTGTAAATGAGAGGAAACGGCTCCATTAGTCCAATCCTCAGAGGCAAGAGGCAAGACATGCTTGATTTTCATTGAAGAAGATTGGTTGATGCCTTGCCTACCAGACCCCAGCTTCCACTAAGTGGAGAGTTTAATCAATAATGACTTTTTGTCAAAGAAAATTATAAATGGCTATATTGTTTTGCAATAATAGAATGTAATTTGAAAAATATCGAACGTGTTGGTTCCAGATTTCAATGAGCTGCTTTCTTTGGATCAGGGGAATTGTGATTGTTCAACCATTCACTTACATTTAATCAATAAGCTTTAAAACAAGTTTACAATAGCTCTAGATGACTTGAGTTGTATCATACACAGTAGCAACTGCTTGAGCCTTGGCGCTAGTGTTAATTTTGTCAGCTATTTTTTTTATTTAGTTTTTGTCTTAGTCCTGTGTTAAATTTCCGTTTTAGTCATATTTAGTCGCCTTCATCCTGTTTTTATTTAGTCAAGTTTTAGTCGACTAAAAGTCTGAGCATTTTAGTCTTATTTTAGTAAAAGAAAACTAATTATTTTAGTCTACTTTTTGTCAATGAAAACTGAGTCTTTTTTTAGTCATCAGATTATATAGAACATTTCAGTCAAACTAGTCTAGCCAAAACCAATAATTTGTCATTTTAGTCAAACTTATTTCACAATAAGATGATATCTTGTCCTTATTTGATGAAAAACACAGGTTGAATGATTAAGAATGCAGCTTTTCAGAGAGTATCTGGTCAGGTTTGAGGTGTTTTTACCAGCTGTGTTATGGCCACATTGCTTCCCTTCTGATAAAACAATGCATTCGCTTTTTTTCTCCGCCTCATTGTAGCGAAAAAGGGTCCCAATATCACATCGTTTCTTTCTCCCAAGCAGTGGTGGCATTAGACTTTTTCGTTGTCAGTCATTTTGACGGACAGGATCATAACATTTCCATCATAATCCATTATTACCCGTCGAGTGCACAATTTATCACTCACTCGCGCTGACAGGGGGGTATTCGGTTAACGCGAGTGTGACCACTGCTCCCAAGCCCTGTTGTTGCCATTTTATTCTCTGTTAAATAAGGTTAGTTAGACCATGTGTTAGACCCGAGTCTTCCTGACAGTTCATATTGTGCCGCTGCCCGGTGTAATTCAAATGTACCGCCTCGCGCAGCACAGACACACAGTTGCTGCCCAGCCGCAGCACCAGAAATGGAACTGCTGGGAGAAAAACTGACTATCAGAGATGTAACGTTATGTTTGATAATATTTCGTCTCCTCATTTTTCGTCAACGAAAGTAAAGAGAGATTTTGGCATAGTTTTTATTTAGTAAACTACATTTTCGTCTCGTCACTTTTCGTCAACGATATTGCATGATGATTTCGTTACAGTTATTGTTTACTGCCGTCTCGTCATCGTCTCGCTTTAGTCATGGGAAAAAAAGGACGTTGACGAACATATTTAGTCAACGAAATTAACACTACTTGGCGCAGGACATATTTAGCCTTTTTATACAATGTAATCTATAAGCTCCAAAGGACTGTGTGTTTCTCAATCAATCAAATGTCTTAATGATAATGCAGCTTGTCATTTTCTCATGTATATTATCCTCAGAATTGTTGTCATCTCTGCTTATGTCTAGGGCTGCCTCAATAAAAACATTTTTTTTCTGTAGCAGGCTTATTGTAGCATTGCACGCATCTCTCATTGCGTCTCAGTTTAACATCCCTCCCATCCTTTATTTTGCTCAACCTGTCTCTCTCTGCCCCCCCCCCCCCCTCTCTCAGGTTTACCCCGGGTTAATGGTGACTGCCGGCCTCATCCACTACGTGCTTAACCTGCTCCACATCACCGTCCACATCCGTGACGTATGTGTCTTTTTGGCACCGGTGTTCAGCGGTCTGACCGCCATCTCCACCTTCCTGCTGACGAAGGAGCTGTGGAACCATGGTGCAGGGCTGCTGGCGGCCTGCTTCATCGCCATCGTCCCTGGCTATATCTCCCGCTCGGTTGCAGGCTCTTTCGACAATGAGGGCATCGCCATCTTCGCCCTGCAATTCACCTACTACCTCTGGGTATGTACACTCTTCATTTGATTGAAAGGTGCAATAGGGGCTATACATAAAAATGTAATCCAGGCCAACATGTCATTTCTATTGTGGATGTACACCTTCCGTGAATAGTGTTTCAGGTGTTAGGAATCAGAATAAAACCTGAAACATGTCCTCTTAAAGCTTCTAAAGCTGAAAGATATGTCAACATTTCTACCGCAACAGCAAGGGCTTTATGTAGCCCTCTTTTCAATCTTATTTGGCCTCACCTTAGATGTTGAATTATTTATCCAGAGGATGAAAGGCACACTGGGCATCTTTGCAGAGCATGTGGAGCCCAGGGAATGGTATGCTCCACAGTAAAACCTTCACAATAGGATGACCTTTTAAGAGCAGACTAGAAAATATGATGGTTAAAAAGGTTGAATAACCCCCCTCCCAATTTACCTTCCTTTTTTTTTAAATACACAAAGTAAACACAGCCTGCAGGCCAGCTGACCTTGTTGAGTTTGCACCATCATAGTTCTCAACAAGAATCTGTAATATTTTTCCTTTAGATAATTAAAACACAATTTGTCAAGTAGTAGACCTTGACCGCATAAATAAATTCCACTGATGGAGAGAAAGTGTTTTCAATGCAGCTTGGATGTTTGCACGAACCACAGAGTGATGGTCTGATCAATGGTCTTCCACAAAATATGGAAGATGTCTGAAACAGCCATTGTTAGCTGCCTTACAGCCCTGCAGATAGTCTTACCATGAATGCCTCTTGTGTGTGTGTTTGTATTACTGTGTGAGAATGAAGAGATCTGCTTGGCAAACATCCCCCCCCCCCACTCATTCTTCTTTTTTATTAGAGTTGACCTTGACAAGTATTGAAGATTATTTCATTCTGTATTGAACTGGACCCGTTGAGTAATACCCGCTTTTTCTTTACGTTTATAAACTTGGAATAAGAATGATGAACAGGATTTAGAAAACATTGAAAGGACATTTAACATTGAACATATTTCCAGCCAACCAGTTAAAATGGAAGTATTCCGTTCCTACTTCTGCTAAACTGTTGATCGAAAGACATCTACCGATTTTAAGAGGAGTGAACTACCCATGAATTGCCAATACAAAACTTGCTTTCAATTAATTCCCGGCATCAAAGGAGACAAAGCAAATGTTGTGTGTGTTGCCTTAATAGGAGGCAACGTGCCATCAATCCCAGATAAAGTAGAACAAAGAGGACCCTTTGAACATTAGAGCCTTAACCATCAGTCGGACATTCAATCTGAAATTAGATGCTACAAGGCTAATTGTTGCACAAAGTAATAAACAACTGGGATCTTTAAAGACCGAAAGGGATTTTGAGTTTGGGTAAGTCGTTACAAACCAAGCCTTTGCTTCAACTTTCTTGACTAGCAGTGACAGCAGGACTTTTGTCATTCATTGTTGCATCCCAGTGGAGAAGATGTCTGATAAACTTGAATCCAGGTAGGTGACTGCCAGGCTAGTTGCTACTCTTAAGGGAATCATTAGTGGCTTCAACTTAATGCAAGTGGAAACAGGGTGCTAGTGGAGACTAATGATAAAATAATTGTAATTTGTTGCTGTTAATGCTGGAGCCCTGGACTTGAAAGACTTCGAACAAATGTCTTCTCCTGTCATGCAGAATGTACTTTTTAAATGAACAGCTGTGGGCGGTACATGATGTCATGATGTAACGGTTAAAGTAGTCATGTTTCTACTGCTGAGGTACGGGGCATTGCTGGATAAAAACTCTAAATGCATGGTTATATTACTGTGTATAATTAGAACGCCTCGGGCATATTTCTGAGTACATCTCATGGAGTCTATAAAATGATTTTTTTCAGCAAAATGGCCACATGTGTCTGTTGATTGCAATGATAGAATATAAAAGTAAGAGTTGAGGGAAGCAATTACAGTCATCCCTGTAAAAACATTTCACACCTGCACAGTAAACCTGAGCAGGTGTCGAATGAATATGGATGTAAAATTCCAATGTAATTGTCAATGTATGAATGTAATCCAAATTAGCTGATCAAGCAGCTAATTTAGGTGATATTAAGGAATTTATCTGCAATTAGCCACTTTGAGAGGACTGAACCAACAAGAAGCCAGCTGCTTTCCCCTGTAAGGCATTCAATCCCAACATGCATGCAGCAGTGAGAACATGTCATACATGTCATCATTGGAAATCATCATTCTTAGTAAACATAAGTCCCTGGCATTATGATCTTTATCCTTGCTTTTACAAATATTAGGAATAACTAAAGAAATACCCTCACTTACATTAATAGACACAAAGAAACATTACAAAGGAAACAGTAGTAACGTGAACCTGAGCAGCAGGCGTAATGCAATGCATATCAATATATTATATTCAAATGCTTTTTTTTTTTAGCTCAGATGCTTTGGGTATTATCTTAAAAACAGTATGCCATGATAGGATGGCGCTATCTTATTGGAAGTTCATGCAAATAAGCCAAATGCCTATTATTGACCAACCGTAAAGTAGCTGCCTAATTTGAGATAAATAGGTAATTCATGGCTCTTTCACATCACCCAGAGTTACAGAGATGAGGCAGGCGAATCAAACTCCAGTTCATTGCTTCATACCTGCAGCGCTCAAACACAACTGCCTGCAGCTGCTAAAGGGTATCATCATAGCATGAGACCCACAGGACTTCCACATTAATGCAGACATTTGAAAGGCCATATTACCTTACACTTCAGCATTCATTGAAAAATATTCTGTCTTTCCTGTGTCATGCTAAAACGACTCATGTCATCTAATGGTCCGAGCCAGAGGCAGCAATACTTTTGAATGAACCAATTAAAAGCTGTTTCTAACCACCTTAACACTGACACATCAAGACACACTTGTGAAAAATGACTGTGGATTAGGGCTGTGCAATTAATCGTATTTTAATTACGATTTTGGCCTGCCACAATTACGAAAACAACATAATCGAAAAAAACAATTATTTAGCTTTGCTAGGTTGTGACAGTGCACTGCAACATATTTGATCTAATTAATTTTGGTCTCATTTATTTGTATTTATCATATTTATATGTTTAGTAGCTTGTGGAAGTGCGCTCCAATATTTGTTCTTTATTGGTATTTATTATTTGGATATTTATTTTAATGTATCATTTATTTTTGTATTGGTTTTTCAGTTGAATTATACGTTCAGGGTAATCAACAGTTAAAAAGATACTGTTCAAATTATTATTTGTTTTAAAGTTCAATAAATGGATTTTTATTTGTTTTAAAGTTCAATAAATGGATTTTTTCAAAGTCAATGAATAATCGTATTTAATAATCGTGATATCAATTATTGACCCAAATAATCTTGATTATGATTTTTGCCATAATCGCACAGCCCTACTGTGGATCATCACAGCTGATGGTTTCAAATACTGCAAAGCACACAGTTACATATTCAAGGCCTTCCACATGCCAAATACAAGGTCATGTTTTTATCTTCACAAATGTTTATTTCTTCAATGGAAATTGAGGTTTTTGCATTTGAAGTTGTGCAAATGTCTGTGTTTGCAAAATAAATGTCTCTTTCTAAGGGGATGAAGTGAAACATAACATTGTTGTAGATGCTGCCAAACTCTTGATCTGCATTGGCAATTATACGAATAAAAACATCAGTTATAAAAAGGCATCAACCTTTAAAAATGTACTTCTCGTTTTCTTTTTTAGTTATATAGAGTTATTTTGAATAAAACTGCATGTTGCAAGGTTCACTTTAGATGTATTATTTAACTTTCATTGAAAACTACAGTCAGTTCCTACACACACAGATTTGTATAATAGTTGCCAATGTTAGACAGGAAAACGGGAACTGTAAGTGCCTAACAGTCCTCATCCAAGTGGTTTCACTGAGTGAACAGCTTACATTGTGCTTGCCAAAGGCAATGAATGGTACTATGAGTAGCTAGTAGGCTATTTGTCCCATTTTTTGTGTTGCTTCAAGACATTGATTTCCCTTTATGCTCAAGCGTAAAGACATGCTGCAGAGTGAAGCCTTTCATCCAGGTAGTGATGCAGGTATTTCGTCATGCCATGCCTCAGCGCTGTTTGTCACACAGTAACAAGCTTGGAAATAAAGTTGCCGCCGGGTTGAAAGGGAGCTTTTATCTGTTCAAGCATTCAGCCATCCCAGTTTATGTCACTTGACAAATTGTGCATGGGTGCATGTGTGGTTCGGTTTCATGGTGGTATTAGTCACTATGCATCCAGCTTGCAGACAATTATCTAACTGTTGCTGACCTGGCAATGACGTACACTTTGGTGTCCAGGTGGCTGGCTGAGCATGCCAGGTGTGTTTACAGTTTCTATCCTGAAACGACACATCTGGCTTTGTGCCAGTCTAACCAAACAGGTGATGGTGTCAATGGGACAGTTTACAACCTCAAACATGCAGTGCATATTTGGAAGCCAAACACAATTAGGAAATGTGTATTATGCTCATCTGTATATACTGGCTTTTACATGTGAAACATTCAAACCATACATCATTTGAAATCACTGGCATTGCAGAGACTTCTAAATAATATTTGAATGAAACTCTTTTATTTTTATAATCCATTTAGTTTTAGATTTGAATACACCCTCAGATTACTGACGCCAACAAAGAAGTACACCCAACATTTAACAGCCGCTTCCACCACCATATAAAACGTTTGAGTAAAAAAAAAGAGCAGTATGTAGACTTTGCAATACTAGAAAACTCATGTGTGAGTTGACTAATACTAAAAATATTCAAATGTCTGCATATAGAGCAAATGAACAAAGAGATGTCAGACATTTCAGATGAGGTGAGACATATTATGGGAGTTGGGCAACACGTACTGCAAGCTCTGGAGAACAAGTGAAAAGTGTAAAGGGTGAAATGAAGGTCTTTTCACTGAAATCTGGATCAAGTTCTTTATACAATAATGATGAACTAATGCGCTCTAATCCCAAAATGTCATTTCTTATAAATGTTTGAAATAGTATAAATATCACTGAGTAAATCATGAAAATGATTACACCTAAATGATAAAGGTTATCTTCCCAACTATCATAATGTTTGTCAGCCTCTTTATATAGACAGGTAGACTTTCCTTATGTTTACAGCAGGTATTACAAGGAAATAGTATAGGGAATATGGCATCTGTAAACATTAACCAAAGAGCAAATGTGTTGTTTAACTTCCAAGACATATAATATAAGATTTTTCAACTTGTCTACCTCAAATCACTTTTTACTTTGAACGATCCCCCGAACCTCACCTTTTTAAGTTTTGAAGACCAATCCGAAAACTGCCACCGGTACTATTAGATTTAGGAACAGGAAATGTGTATTAGGGTGTGTTAGGGACATCTGTCACTACGCTGTTCTAATGGCTTCTTGTCACCCTGTGCGTACGGACAATACGTCTCAAAGTGAGGCAGGTGTTCCTTGCAGCAGCCATCACTGCCTCTTAAGGTGATGTGTCATCAGCCAAGCAGTGCCATCAAACAAATCCCCCTCCACTCACCTACCACCTCTCGTGTCTTCTGTTCTATTTGGCAAGGGCCCTGAAAAACAATCATCGCGGCCATGCACCACTGCTTCCCATTATCAGTCTCATTTACCCACATTTGTCTTTGCGTTTGCTTTCCTACCCTCCGTGTTTTTTTCCATCTCATCTCCCTTTAATTGTCTCCTTTTGTCCCTCCCATTGTTTTGTTATAGCTGCGTTCGGCTTTTTCTTTCTTGTTCATCCCATCTTGCTCTTTCTTCCTCTATCTCATTATTGCTCGTTCTTTCTTTCCCTCTCCTTCTTTACACCTCGTTCTTTTCTCCATGTGGCAAAAATGCACACTCCAAGTCCAATCTTCATTACCCGACTCCTTCAATTTATCCGCTAATAACCCATTCAACTCAACTCGCTTAATCTGTGTTTACCCAATCCCAACACATACACACACTCACTTGCAAACCCTCCCATAATCTATAATTGAATCCCCCTCACACCCAAGAGAGATGCTTTTTTTCACAGCTCTTCTTTACATGAACACATACACACAGTCACACTGCCTTGCTCCAGCCCCATGCACCATGCCTACATTGTTGTAACAGTAATTCCACTCTTTCTTTCAGGCTCACATTTAATTAGCTGGACAGGCACCACGCTGTGTGACTTGTGTGTCTTGACAAAGAGAGTGGAGACTGGGGGGCTGGGGCAGTTGGAAAAGGAGGTTAAGGCACCAGTTGCCACATGCCTCTAAAAAGACAACGCAACGCTGCACGCTAGCTTTGGCTCAGCTTGAGTGGGAATATTGTCTGAAGAGAACACATCAGCTTGCACAGAAACTATTGTCATCCTTATCACGCTTGTTTTCACTGTCAAACAATAGAAGCAAAGACTGAACATGGAGCTATTTATGGAAAAAGTGTAATGGGGGTTGTGCCTTTGGCAATGTACACTCAATTGCCAGTTAACACCTTGCTTAAACTAATGTATTCAAATAATACAGCCTTCCAATTTAGCATCCGGTCTGTTTGATATTGTGTCTTTCAAAGGCCAAGGAGAGTTGGAGAGAGTATTGCTGGTGTTGTAGTGTGTAGTGGTAGAGTACTGAAAGCGTTAGCTAAAAGATTGTCAATGTCACGGCTGAATGTTTAGCGGATTTCAACAATGGGAATGAGGCTGTACCCTCTCATGAGATTTTAAAACAAACTTTCTCCTTGAGCGAGACTAGGTTATACACAATGACAAACGGACCGGATTAAGGAAAAGTAGATAAAAAAACATTTTATTTCTCTGTAGAGTCCTTTCCATAATGTTGTCAGAGACTTACAACAAGTATATAAAAGCCCGTCAGTAGCAAAAAAACTAGTTATTTGTGGAAATTGCCCAACAAGATTACATTCTGAAAATATCGTCTCGGTTGAAAAATACTGAAGTTACCCTTTATACAGTAAATATAGCTTTGTATAAATCCCAGATACACTTACAAAGAGTGTCTCTATACTGAAGTCACAGGACCAGTACATGTTCTGAAAAACAGTAGGGAGTTGGAGCTGTAAAGGTTTCTGGGATGTGACAAAATATGACTTGTATGCTCCAGATTTAATTAAAATTATTGGCCTTTGCTTGTAATATTAAAACAACCCACTTCTCGCATAGAAAAATAAATCTCATAGTTTTAGTACTGTTGACCCAAACAGAGCAAAGAGGCCATAAAACAACCAGAGCTGCACCTTGGTACAGGAGAGAATGATAATCAGGTCACCACTGACCTACTTACTGTAGCCCTGCTCAACATAAAGCACTGCTTAAGGACGTTTTAGTTTGTTATCGTGTAGTGAATTGATCTGTCTGTCCGTGGCGCTCTGCTGGGTATTCAGGCTAGTCAAGACTATCTTGGTCCATGATCATTGATCCACCCCCATCAGAAGATCTCAGGCCTTGTTGGATATGATTATGCTACATGACACCCTCCCCTCCTCCATCTGACTGGAAAGAGCACCATTTAAATGTGTATCTGTGTGTGTGTGTGTGTGCGCTTGCAACTTTTTCATTATCTCTTGTGTTTTTTTTGGTAAATGTTAATGTGTACTCTTGCCTGCTTTATCGGCCTGTGGCGGGAAAGAAAGCTTGTTTACAAGATGTTTTTGTTGGCTTAGACTGAGCTTCTCTCCCCTCATCCGCTCTCTCCCCACAGATGAATGTTCTACACCCTCTATGATCATTAAACTGTGATCAATAAACTGCTTTTTAAAGACTAACACAATGTGAATGTAGCACACTCGCTCCAACTTATGTGTACGTTTGTTGTACACACACACATTTCATTAAACGTTAGTTTCCGAATGTCGTGACTCACTCAAATCTGGTGAATCACAATGTAAATAAAGCTTTCAATGGGATAATGACTTGGCAAACAAAAGTAGATCCAGATTTTTTAGAAAAACAAACATCATGCCATGTTATGATAATGTTCATCCTAGGGTGCTTTAGTTTCTAATGTCCCTAAACTTTGAGTCTACATGAAGCATATTTAGATATATTTAAAGCATATTCTCTTTTTTTCTCTTGTAGGTGAAGTCGGTGAAGACGGGATCTGTATTCTGGGCTATTGGCTGCTGTCTCTCATACTTCTATATGGTGAGTGATTTCAACTTGTATTGCCATTTTACCAATGTATATGTAAATATATGACTTGTTTATGTGATTTGTGTTTATTTTGCTTTTGTTTATGTTTCACTGCTGTGCAACAAAACCACCCTTGTGGAACTGAAACGGCGATTGTCTGCCTGAGCCACTGTTTTGTTTTTTTAAATTTTCAATCAATTGTTGTTTTCAGCTTTTATCAACTTCTCTTTCTTTTCTATTATTTGAGTAAGAAATAAAAAAGCTTGGTGTAAAAAAGCTGCAACGTCATAAACATCCGTTTTCAGTAAAAATACGTTGTCACTTTCACCAGACTTCTTCCCTACTATGAAATGAATGCCATGTATTGCAAGTGTCTCTGGTAAACTAGATTTTAAAAAGCATGTTTCTCCAAACAATCCAACTTTATATGTAGCTAGTTTCAAATTCAGATCTGGTTCTTTATAATTAACTGTGCTTCCGTGACGGTAGTATTGGGGGGGGGGGGTTTCTCTGTCCAGAAAGCACATGGCAAGGATTGTAAAAATAGGAGGAGCAGTTTAGAGCCTGTTGTCTGCATTATTTATGATTTCAGGCAGAAACCCATCAGGGGATTGATGAGAGAGTTGAGATAAAAAGACGATCCGTGCACATTGCCTCAGCGCCAGAGTGTTTGCGTGTGTGTGTCTGAGGGAGCCCGAGTGCCAATGAAAACCTCCAGCTTCTTGCTCATTCCAGGCTTAATCTCAGTGGCCGGCTTCCAGACAGATATCAAATAAAACCGATTACAGAAATCCAGCTTTATCGATCAGACTGGGCCACAGAGCGCGAGGGGCGTGCAGAGGAGGTGGGAGATATAGGAGTGGTGGAACGATGAATAGAATTGGAGACAAAACCGAAAATGGAGAAAAGGCACAGACAAAAGGATAAAGAGAGGTGTGGAAAGATAAGGGGGAACAGGATATGGTGGACAGAGAGATGGGAAGAAATGATGAGGAGATGTGATGCGTAACTCGTTGCCACTTGCAATGGGAACATTAAGTCTCCATGCTTCATTCTCCTTAATACCACTTCCTCTCCCTGACACCCTCTCTCTCCCTTCCTCTGTGATTGGATGTTTCTCCTAACTGTATCTGCAGCCCACCCACTGAAGTAGACGAGTCCTCTGGCAGTGAGCAGCAAACTAGTCTTGTATGTCTCCATCTTAAACGCCTCCACTGTCCCCTTTGGTCCCACACACCAAGTACTCCATCCACTTGTTGACCCGTCCTTTCTTTATCACCTTACACCCTCGTTTTAATCAGGATGAAGCCAAGGCTACCTTTCCTGTTAGGAATTAATTGAATGCGACACTTGTAAAGCAGATATGGAGACAGAGAGGAGCAGATCCCCCTGCCTGGATATTAGCACTATCAGCAGGGACAGGACAGAGGGGGACAAGATTAAGACAGGGATCCCGCACAGTAGGACCTCACTGATGGACAGAAGCCACAGGAACCATTCGGGCAGCTGCACAGCATCCTCCTTTCATCCCTCCAGGGGTGAGGGTGGAGTGAGGGGTAAACAGAGGACAGAGCAGATGCACTGCACTCATTCCCAAAGCTTTGGCTTACTTTCCTCTCTAAAGCCTTCAAAGACCCCTCGAGCAGAACAACCTGTAACACCAAAAGCTCCTTTGCTTAATGAAGTATTGATTAAATGCCCAGAACACAAGACTCCTGTGGTGATTAAAAAGATGTCCCTTTGTTTAAACATTTAAAATACTTCTTTTACTTTGTAGTGCTTAGCTGAAAGTACAGCGAGAAAGATCTCCTAGCATGGCTGTTGACTTTAAGGTGCTACCTTTTTGACAGATTTAACCCCTCCTGACAATCGGAGCACAAATCTGATCTGAAATCGGAAAATCGGTTAGGATTAGAGTATCATTGTGAGCAGGAAACTGGCCTATTCCCAAGACATAGGCCTGAAGCTACACTATCGTATGTAAGCATACATACACACAGATTCACTGAGCCGTCTGTGTAGTAACCTTTTTGTTCATCCTGTATCATTAAGAGTCTTTTATGTCATCTTAAAGTGTTTCCAATGATCCAGAGAGTCACTGTTGGTGTTGTAGAGGGTGGCGTTGGTAAATAAGCGCACAAGAATAAATCGCATGAGGCTACAAACACTTGCAGACACACACACACACACACTAACGCACAAGCAGAGTAAAACCCTTCTTCCTGTTGCATGCTGTGTGCTGCTATATCGTCTTCAGAGTGGCCTTGCGGTCATCAGATAAGCCCTGTGTGAAATACAGAGTGATAACGGCTAAAAGACTTTGCCCCAAACATTTTCTAAATCCTGCCCTCAGCTGATGGCCTGTGGCTCGGGCAAAGGCCTGGCAGTTTGAGCCATCATTTGAAATAGTGCTTGTTCTTGCACACTCACACACAGCCTTGCTTTTCTGTCTTGAGCATTCATCTCTGTATAGTCCTGTAATATGTCCAGATGGCAGGTTTTTCTTTTGGTTGATTGTGCTGGCATGATCCCAGAACTGGAGGTAAATCTGCTCTCAGGTTGCATTGTAGAGTTTCCTGAATCAAAGATACCGTTGTCATATCACGGTACATATTGATATCTGACTTTAAAAACGTGTAAATTGCATGCTAACACGCTGAACTGAGAAGGGTAACATAAATATGAACATGTATGCAATATTAATGTGAACATTCTACTATGTTAATCTTAAATTATAGCACCACTGTGCTTTTGATATGTTCAAGCTGCTGCTAAATAAAATACATCACAAACAAAAATTGATACATTTTCTCAACTAAAGCCATATTTTGACCGCTATAATACAAATTTGGTAAGTGAGCTGTTTTATTTTTCCTAAACCCTTGGAAATAGTAACCATGGGAATATTTTCGATCACTATCTTCCATTTCTCCACCATGGCATTAAACCTCTAAACCCAGTTATACCCCAAGGGAAAACAAGCCTTAAATGTAATGTTGACTCTAAGTCAATAATGCCCCTTAATGACGCCAGAGAGTCTAACTCGGAGGGATCAATATTTTAAAACATTCGGTTGGCATGGTTTTTGTGACATGGAGACGTGTCCATCTTGTCTTTGTGCCTGCAGCCAGTTTTGATCAAATGCAGAGGAAGAGGGGGTTGCATTGCAGTTTCCTCTTTCCTCTTTCTGTATCATACATACTCACTAGAAATTGAAAAGTGTTATGGTTTTGCATCTGCAGTGGCGCTGCACACTGCGTTTCCACTTTTCTATTTGTAGTACGCTCCAAGTCAGTGAAAGACTACAAAGACTGGATCAGTCGCTTCTGTGTTAAAATGAGTCTGTAATTCAAGTCATTTCTGGTTTTCATTGGAGATACTGTCTCCATGTTACTAATTGGCTGTCACCATCTGAGAGAAAAGATGCTAACCACTGCCAAAATATAATTGCTTCTAATCGTTCAGCATGGAACTTATTTAGAGGTTTCCTTTCACTCTGTGCCTAAATGTTGCATTTTAGTGTTTTTGATCAATTAGACATGATGCGCTCGTTTTTCCTGTGACTGCAGGAGTGTTATGAATGCTCCTCATCGTACTGAGCAGGTGCAATGTGGCTCTTTCTGACAAGCTGTTGTGTTGAATGCATTCTCTGCTGTCTCTCCCTCTTTCTCGGTTGCACTTTCTAATGTTTACAACTGTCTTTTCCCTTTGTCTTTCTTTCTCTATCTCAACACTCCTTTTCTAAGCTGTCCTCTCTGCCTGTCTAGTGCTCTCACACTTACCATTTGCCTTTTTGCTGGTACTTGAAAACTTGTCAATGATGTTTTTTGCAGAGCTCTTTAACAGTCCCGAAACCCAGCGTTGTGATATTTAGCGTTGCTCAAAAACAGTTTAGGAAAAATTTCGCCGAGCCTATGTCGGTGCATCCAGCATGAAAAGTATGATTGCATTTTTATAGATGCTTTATATGTCAGGTTTTAATAAATGTGTGCAGAAGCAGTACCATGGCTGATCTTGGATAATGCTATTCAAGGCCTTTTCATTATTTTCTTTTTTGCAGGGGTCACTTATGTTTTATATCCATACTTACTCTTTATTTGATTAGAATGACGTTTGAGAATGGAATTCATTAGAACTTTTGAATTGAGCTTCTCTTATCCTAGCAGACACATAAAAGTGATTCATAACATCAGCCAGTTCTCACCCATTCACACACTTGCACAGTATAATTGCTTATCAGGAGTGATGAACATTGACACACACACCCACAGAGGTTCAGTTTCGTGCCCAAGGACACTTCGACATGTAACAACCTTCTGTTAAGCGTAGGATCCTCGGCCACAGCTGCACGGAACAAATACACGTTACAAAAACGTTTTGGTTTCCTTCTCCAACAATTTCAACATATTGTGGCAGCTCTGTGATAACCGTTTATCTTCAGGTCTGCTTTCAGTTTTGTGACGGGTATGTGTAGTGTGATTCTGTGTAGTTTTATTTATGGCATCCCGTTGGATTGGACGTCATCTGAACAGGACATGCACGCTCACTGCTTGATAGCGCGCGAAGGTCCGTTTACGCCGGTTGTTAAACAACATCGTTATGGGGAAATGCAAGTTTGTGTCCAAATGGTTGGAAGATAAGGAGGAAGGACAATCAATACTGTATATAGTAAATGTGAAGTAGAGTGTGTCGCCAATGTAACCGGTTAAAACTCAAAGTGGCGATGAGGTCTTAAAATGTATGGAAAGGGTCTGAAAAAAGGTCTTAAAAGGATTCCTGCATATACCCTGTGATAAGTAACCGAATAACATGAAAGCCTCACCTCAGGTTGGTGACCTTGTTTGAAATAAATAAATGAAGAATGTTTGATCATATGAAATTCAGCAGTCTGACATTACTATATGAATGTGTGTGTTCCAGGTGTCCGCATGGGGAGGTTATGTGTTCATTATCAACCTGATTCCTCTGCACGTGTTTGTGCTGATGCTGATGCAACGCTACAGCAAAAGAGTCTACATCGGTAAGCTACACGCACGCACATTTACTTGAAGTACTTGATGTTTAAAGCACCCCCACAAACTGTTGTTGAAATTGAAACTGACAGTCTTTTCAGATCCTCTTCCATTAGAATAGAATTGTATGCAATAAACAGAACAAAAACCACTACTCCTTCAGTTGCGTTTCCCAACATCGTTGCCTAAGCATTTGACCCTGAAACGAGCTCAAATGCTTGTGCTCATCTTTCACAACCGTAAGCGTTCCATCGTCTGCAGTGCAGACATCCACACACCACTTAACAGTAAACGCAGCCACCTGCTACCTGATCTATTCGTTTTTTTGTGTGCAAATACGAGAGGCAGAACGCTGGTGAAGAGGGGTTCGCTTATTATTCCAGCGATCATCCCAGTGTCACAGCACAGCACCGACCAGCCTTGGCACATTATGTGTTGGCTCAGAGAATCACCACACATTCGTCCTCAGCTTAAATATGAGCTCGCGACAGGCACTTCTGTTGTGATCAAGAAAAAAACCACGGTGTAATGTATATTTTTCACATGATTATATTTTGTATGTATTATAACTGCAAATCGTGGTCCTTAAGAGGTTTGAAAATAAATGATGGTCTCTCCACAGTGAGATGGTTTTGACCTACCTCTGCTCTATCTCCAAACTGTTTTTCAGCCATGACATTGTACTTGGCAATGCAGCGCTGTTGTATGAAGTGGAAAATATCCCTTCTTTGTTCCTCAAAGATGTCTGCAGCAGAAATATCATCCTGCGACTTCATGCACCTTTTGGTAGCTAATGAGAGATGGAGAAATATGTCGACACGAGGTGACGGAAAAGACATTAGGTCCTTATGCGCGTCTCACATTTCTCACCTTCTCTCATCTTTACATCTTGCAGCTCCCCTCTTTAGAGCCAGGTGTCTCTCTCACTAAGAGGGAACATGAAAAAAAGAAAAAAAATCCCGGTTTAATAAAATGCCTCGCAGTCTATGTTCCCTCACATTTCATCTCTCCCTGTCTTGAGTCAATAGCAGATGTGTGAGTAAGAGTTAGCTGAGGGCGACCACAACTTCTTCAAAAACCAGGCACACACTTCAGGAAGAGTATGAAATCTTAATTAAGATGGTGCGTCTGCGAATCGGTTCCCCCCCAGCTACAAAGGTGGGAGTCGCACTGTTCTCAGCACCGTCGTCACACTCCAGGCCTCCCGTCACACCGCACAGAGCCAGCTCCCGTTTTCACAGTAAATGACATTAGATTAGGTATTTTGTATTTACTCACTCAGAGTAAGGCCGTGGAAATCAATAGACTTTAAATACTTCTGTTGAGGTTGATTTCCCTTAGAAGCATCCAAACTGGAGTAGTGGAACAAAATGGAAGGTTTATAGTGCAATACGTTATTTTGATTGCTTTATTTCTCATTTTGTCTCTCCTGTGTTTACAGCTTACAGCACTTTCTACATTGTGGGTCTTGTCCTGTCGATGCAGATCCCCTTTGTGGGCTTCCAGCCAATCAGGACCAGCGAACACATGGCTGCTGCCGGTAAGTCTCACTCTCTCTTCTTCCAGAGTAGCTGATCCGGCGTTTCTTCTTAGATGAAGAAGTTCACTTCGGGAAAGTTTGAAGATGAGTGTCGTTCAGAGTGCACTGATGAAGTCAGCGTTTCTTGGAAAATATCACTGCCTTATTTTTTCCAAGTTATGACTCAATAATACCTTTTATCACCAAATGTCAGAGCTTCTCACAAGTAAGACACATAGCAGCCATCAACTTTACTGTTATTTTCATCCTCGTCCTCCTGTATCCTACGATCTAGTGTATGATTACATTCACAAATATTTTCCTCAGGAGTTGGAGGGTATTTATTTGATCTCACTAAATGCTAAAATCGCTCCAGTCAGTTACATTTTCAGAAAAACAGTTTACCATACTAACTTTATTAGATAATATGTTGGTGTTTACAACTTCATTTGCTGCCCAAGCCTGGCAAATACAATCTATTCATTCAGGTTTGATAGCATACTTTATTTTCTAAAAGATAGAGTTGTTTCAATGCATACCTTGAATAACATCAAACCTTTTTTAACATTATATGGAACAATCCTATTCCAAGTTACATACGTTTCTGAACTGACTGAATTCTTTATCCAAGGACACGTAGTCACAATACAGAGATTGTATTCATGTTCACTTCTTCCAACTCTCCTGATGTATGGTGCAACACAAGAGAGAGGTTAAGGCTGACTGCTGTAACTCGCGTATTAAAGGTGTGACGTTACATAAGCCACTAGCTTGTTATCTAAAGCACCTCACACTACCATGGATGCACACACTTTAAGATTGTTTGGCTGCAGCAGGCTTTGAATCCCCTAGTGCTGACAGTGTTAGTCATCCTCTCTGTGGAGAACAAACACAAGACCTCCTCAGAATATATTTACAAAATAGAAATAAGCCGCTTCACAAACCACCCATATGGGTTTAGCACTTCAAGTACTTTTCATTTTTGGCTTGTGGGTAGTTTATTAAAGCTTGTTCAGTTTCGCCACTCAACAGTGGGCCCATCTGCTGCCTGGTGGCACGAGTGGGTGCGTTTGTATGTGCATGATTTGTGTGTTTTATTTACATCCAGATTGGGAGAGGACTGTCGTTGGCAGCTTTAGGATGCCGAGCAGCACCTTTTTGGAGAATTCTCTTAACACTGCAGCAGGCTGACGATGAAGTGTCCCTGTTTTCTGGTGTTTGTACAACACAAACCGCATTATGAGAGGCACTTAAAGAATGCACCATCAAAAATCTTCTCTGCCTCTCTCAGTTTTCGGCTCCCTGCTCTCTTTGAGTGTTTTTTTTATGTCATTTGGGTAGCAGCTGCTCGGAACATCTGGTGGTAGCATCCAGGGAGCACAGTGGGAGACAGGAAGAGAGTGACAGAGCCGTGGACCTGTCGATAGCGCTGAGAATGTCACTCCCTGAGGCAGGCAGGGGGGGGGGGGGGGGCAAACGTGTTAGCACCACCCGGCTCGCCAGGAGACAGGCAGCACTTTAACCTTAGAAATGGGTGAGACCTCCTGTGGGTGGTGTTAACGGATGAGTAAGGCGATTTCGTGATATTTTGTCATAGAATGGGAGGTGACGAGAGAAGGGGAAACCAGGACTCTTTTAAATGTTTTATATCGAATTCACCAGACAAGCAGAGAAATGTTCTGGTGGAATTGGCTCTGAGAAAGTGTCAAAGGAACAAAGTGTAACCAAAGGGGCAGCTGAAAAAAAAGCAAGGCGAGGGAAAGAGAAGAGCTTATTCACACAATCTGTCTCATGCATTCGAAATATGTTGTCCCGCAGTATTTGCCTTCCACATCTGCATGAACTGCCAAAGGGGCTTTTCCAAACTGCTTTGTAGAGGATTCTGCCAAACTGACAGCATCACTTCTTATCCACGTAAACCTGCTCCCTGGGGGGGGGGTGGGGGGGACGGACATGAATCAGGGCTTCCTCAAATATTCACTGTTAGCTTCTTCTTGTATGTTTGCTCATGCTTTTGTTTCTGTGTGCGTCTTCTTCTCAGGTGTGTTTGCACTTCTCCAAGCCTATGCCTTTCTGCAGTACCTGAAAGACAGGCTGACCCGACAGGAGTTCCAGACGCTCTTCCTCCTCGGAGTGTCTCTTGCCGCCGGCGTGGTCTTCCTCACCGTCATCTATCTCACTTACACAGGTCTGTTTGTCCGCTCACATGCTGTCACAGTTCATATCATGTAGACCATCTCATTTGTTGTATTTTTTGGCCTTGCCTTGTAAGTAGAGCAGAAATAATGTGTCACTCAACAGAATGTTAATCTGCTCGTAACAATCATTAAAGTGAATTATGTACTAAAAATATCAAACAATTAAGGTTTCAGCCTAGCAACTTGTGTGTTTGCTGCTTTCTCCTGTTTTGTGTCATAAATGTTTTCAGGTGATTCTGACAAAACAGGCAAATTAAAGAAACATTCTTGTCCAATTTTAATTCAAATGAAGTCAAAGAGATTCATGTATAAAAGAGATAATTATTAGTTGGAGCCCTCTTTGGAAGCGATTTAATAATGGTTGCAACCAATAACCAAAGCAGCCCAATCCATCAAGGTTAGAGAATACAAAATGAACAAATCAATCCTTTATTAATTAATGCTGAACTACAGAAAGTTTTTCATTAACTATAATGTCTTTATAGTTTACCTGGCTGTGTGCTCTCAGTGAATATTTCCACGTAACCAAGCCTAAACAGGCCTGCCCAAGTCCAGAGAATAAAACATTTGAGTCTCCCAAATGTAGCCAGAACGTTTATGTCAATGTCAACACGAGGAAATTAAACAAAAAATGGCGATGAGCAGATCATCTTTCATGATATGTCAAGCTACTGTCAACAAATTAATGCGTCTCTCACTCCCTGGCTTTATTTTCTGCTAAATATTATTGCGAAGATAGCTCATCATGATATAATATCTCTTTTTAATGATAGTTTTATTGGCTGAACAAATAGTGGTTTTGTTTTGAGCCCTGTCTTTTTATTCTTACAAATGGAAGCAGTTATCATTGATTTGGCTGGGAGTTTATGGACCAATAGCATTTTGTGCAAGGATCAGTTGACTAGATTTAATGATGCTGATCCAGATCTGGGATATCAGCCATTTTAAATTGTGTTTTCCTTATTTAGCCAGAAGTTACAGTATGTTTATACACTATCCCCCATTAGTCTGACCTGCAGGCCTCCCCAGTGGGCCGCTAATCAGTGTTTGGTTCGTCAGAAAATGAAACCCGGAAGGCACATGATAAGCAAATATAAACAGATAGGGATGCTGCAGCAAGTTGTAGGACTGTGGAGCAGTAGTGGAAGATAGTGCTCTTTCGAGGGCCTTTTTCTGGAGTTGTATGTTGTTTTTGACTGGCTTGGTTGAACCCCGATGCGCACAGCAAGCCAGTTGAGCTTTGCCCTCAGTCAATATTTTCTCCATTATTTTCAGCTCGGCCTGCGTTTGTGGCCACAAGGTTACAGACCTTTAAAATGTTGCCTCCTTGCTATTTATTGATTCTATTAGTCTCCTGCTGAAGTGTTCAGATTCAAGTATACCATCTTTTGGTTCTTTAAACACTAGATGTGCTCTCCCTATCTACAGTAGTGGTTCATTACCTCAGACTGGTCCCAGGAAAGCTAATATGTGAAGGAAAAAGAGTGCTCTCGTATCCCCTTAGGCTGTGTTTGCACACGTTTTCTGCAGTCTGTAATGAGCCTAAATAAAGCATGTGGCTTTTTTTTAACCCAACATGATAAATTGGTTTTCTCACCTTAATTAAGGCAGCAGATTATTTACTAGCCTTAAACAGCAATCTGACATTCTGTCACTCCAGATTATGTGAAAGCCAGGCCTTTTGTGCAAAACGATGGTGTCACATTACATCTATGGTTATATTTGGCGTCCTCAGATATTCCGCCTGCCTGCTTTTAGAGCTCATTGGCCACTCATGCGTACGCAGAAGTCTCGTGGGAGATCCTGGACGTCTGGTAAACGCTGTGATGTGTCAGCCATCTGAATTGAGCAGTGGGAGTCAGTGACTGTTTGGGGATATGCCAGTTTTCTAGTGAAGCTGCGCATGTGATTCTCTGGTCTATTGGACTTTTTCATCTCTTAAAAATCTCTGTAGCCTGGTGGGTTTCCTCAGTGTATTGAACTCAGAGCCAAGTATTGATTGCTTAAATCAGTGTCATCCTTTAAATAACCTCTCAAAATATATTCCCCATTTCATTTTTATTACCTTTTCATGCCTGCTTCGGTTCTGACATCTTATTTCAAAAGAGTTTTTTCTGATGGTAGTGGTGCTTATTTCATCATAAATGCTTAAGAAAGGATCTCTCCAAAGAGCTTCAAAGGACAGGATACAGCTACATGTTGGTGCAAACCTGCCACAAAATGTGTAATATGGGGCTTTTGTTTATGTTAGTGAGTGTGGGTGAGAGCCCCTAGGCAACAGTTCAGAGCTGAAATGTATTCCACATCAAAGCCTTACCAAAATAAGACATTTGTATGCGCACATAAAATGCCCTGTGCGGTCGAATTTGCAGCTTAAATGGTTTCAGTTACATTTATAAACAAGTCAATTTTAGTAATTAAGTACCATCAATAGAATACATTTAAAGCATTGACATGTTCTGTATCAGGGTTCTCTTGGCAGGAAAGGTTGGTTAATACAGAGCCGTTGCTTGGCTATATAGGTTGTTTGTAAAAAACTATTTTCTCTGGTAATTTCAATCAGATTAGTGTATAACCAACGACAGGATGTAAATCGTGCTGCCTTGCACTCGTACATGTGTATCTTCTTGCATCTGCATATAAATAACAGATTAAAAGACCACATGTTTACTGCATTGTGTTGCAGGGGTGCATTTCAACTTTTAAATAAATAAAAAGTAAGGGTATTTCCTCCCTCACTTGTCATTATAAGAGAAATTAGTAAGATCGCAAACCAAGTTCAAGCTGCGCATTCCCACAATATAGAGTATAGTTCAGTTTGGTTTCACACAGTGAATATTAACTGCATTGTAGACATCCATTGTTTTATCCTCAGGCAACTCGTATACATTTTCTAGGCCTTTGGGTCAGATAGTGTTTTCCATTTTTATTTATTCAAAGCTGCACAGTTGGGTAGAGTTTGCTTTATAAATAATTACGTTTGGTTGTATCAAAGGACATTCTAATGAGAGTATTTTTTACGTTGTTTAAAAATGATTGTTCATTTCATTCGGTCTTTATTCTGGTCTACTTAAACGTTATTCATCTTCCTGCCCCCCTAACAGCAGGCCCTATATTCAGAGGCTCGAATGAATGAATAAACAAATCCTTTCTTTCCTCAGGATACATTGCTCCGTGGAGTGGTCGTTTCTACTCTCTCTGGGACACCGGGTAAGATCTGCTGACCTTCACACTCTCACCGTCGATGGAAAACTTGTTCAATCAAGTGTGTGTTTTCAAATCCGACTATAAACCCCCCCTGCACCGTCCCAGAGGGGAAACTGTGCAGCTCAGGCTCGGTGTTGAACTATAGTCTTCCTTCCAAACAGCACCAGGCACCCTGTGTTCTCCAAATGCACTGCAACATGTTTGATATTCCAGCACACCCAATCCATTCTCCCCCCCCCCCTTTTGTTTGCTGACTGGAGCAGTATGGGATAGTTTTCCCCCTCTGGAGGCTGATACTAATTCCTTAATGTGTTGTGTGTTTTCTCTTTCCCAGCTGTAATCACAAAGCACTTTAGAGAAGTATTTGAAACTTATAGAAACTGCTGCGTAAAAGCCCGTAATGAATAAAAGGGGAACACACAGCTTAGGAAAACAAAGGAAAATTACTCTTTCAGTTCTAAATGTGTAAATGTTTTTATCATAAGCATGCAGGGAGGTAAATGATCTTCTTTCCTCATAACTCTGGAGTTAATCAGGAGGATCTATTGTATAATTTGTCTCAACACTCCCAATGGGCTCAACCCAACATGAATTACATTCTGTCTGTCTCTTCCCCTCCCCTCTGTTTCCAGCTATGCTAAGATCCACATCCCCATCATAGCGTCAGTGTCGGAGCACCAGCCCACCACCTGGGTCTCCTTCTTCTTCGACCTCCACATCCTGGTCTGCACCTTCCCAGCAGGCCTCTGGTTCTGCATCAAGAACATCAACGATGAACGAGTGTTTGGTAGGAACACTTTATTAAAAGCTCTACAGTTTATGAGAACATGCACGCTTTGACATTCTATGACATTTATTTTCACCTCAGCATGAATTGGAAAGACTGGCAAATAATTTAGTAATTTATCTGCTCAATAAACAGTAGGTTTAGTTAACATGCATGATTTGTAAATGGTACATCGTACGTGGTCGTGTTGACACATTTACTGAAAATACTTAGCTTTTCTAGCTAGGATTCCACGCTTAGTCTGGCTTAAGATACTTTTAGAGCAACTCTGAGGAAGGACAGGGGGTCTTAAAAAGTATTAAAAGTTGATAAATCAATTTAGGGAAAATTAAGGCTATTAAAAAGTATTAAACGGCATTTTCCAAGGTATTACATTGTGTAGCTTGTTTTCAATAAGTATATAAATTGTCCAAAGAGGTTGTATTCTACAGTCTGCCTGAATGTAATCATTGCGTAGGTGTGTAGTGTGATTCTGTGTAGTTTTATTTATGGCATCCCGTTGGATTTGACGTCATCTGAACAGGACATCATTACATATAGTAAATGTGAGGTAAAGTGTGTCGCCACTATAACCGGTTAAAACTCGAAGTGGCGATGAGGTCTTAAAATGTATGGAAAGGGTCTTAAAAAAGGTCTTAAAAGGTATTACATTTGACTTCAGGATTCCTGCATATACCCTGAAGGAAGATTTTAAAAAGGTGTGATTGGTTGATTAAGAAAAAATATAAAAAATGCACTCCTTCCAAAAACTGGCAACGAATCCACCGTGACTTGATGGGTCTCATCATAGCTTTCAGTCTTTTAGACATAGTGTGAATATAAATATGAACATATCTGTTGAATACGTTTTAAGCCATAATTATAAGTAGCCTACAAAATGTTAAAAACCATACTGCCTACTTGCGCAGTATGTGAGCAAATGTATCGATTCATTTGCTCACATTTATTTATCATGCTGAAAGTTGCATGAAGTTATAGTTTTGGTTCAGTTTATATAAGTAGCCGGGTTGGGTGGCATGTAGAGCTAGAAACCAGCAAAAGAAAACATCAAGGGGGACTTAAAAAACCCAATCATCTTAAACAAACTTTTCTGTTTACAGAGAGAGAGACAGCCAAGATCAAGGGCAGAAAACCTTTAAGCGCTCAGATTCCGCCCTCCAGCAGCCCGACCTGTTTCTCCCTCAGACTTAATCAGCCAATTACAGCTATTGATTAGCCATGCACCTGTTGAGCCGGGTGTTCACTCTTCAAGGACGGAAAGCAGCCAGCGCTCTCTCTCCGTTTAGGGTTTAAACTCTGCAGAGCTGCTGATTATGCTGCATTACAACTCATTTTCTCTTTTTCATGTCTTTATCTCCGTCACTCGGCCCAATTCCCTCTGTCCTTTACTTTCACACCGTCTTTCTCCTTGACTGACCTTTCTATATGTTGTGCTCCCTCTCTCCCACCCACCACCTTCTATTCCTGTCCCCTTGCAGTGGCCCTGTATGCCATCAGCGCGGTGTACTTTGCCGGTGTGATGGTGCGCCTGATGCTGACACTGACTCCGGTGGTGTGCATGCTGTCTGCCGTGGCTTTCTCCAGCGTCTTTGAGCATTACATGGGAGACGACACGAAGAGAGAGAAACCCCCCGCTGAAGACAGCAGCGACGAGGACGACAAGAGGAATTCTGGGAACCTTTATGACAAGGTCAGGACAGGAGAGAATGATCCAAATGTACATCAAACGCGTAACTTGAGCTCCTTATTGACTTTACACCTTAGGATGTATCATTCTCATGTTTGTCAGCTTTCCCCACTCCTCAACAGTTTAGCTTGCCAGTTTGGGTAAAGTGTGATTCAACTGTGATTCAGCTGCAACTGTTGGATGCCGTTGCCATCATTTTAGCTGTCTCACTTTTGTCGAATGTTGATCCCACGGCTGTCACTGCTGAGCCAAACTGTGGCTTTGTCTATTCAAGTCCACCTTGGCATCACATCACTTCATGCATCACCCACAGATATCCATCCTTAAGGAGAACGCAATGTTGGACATCTGCGTATGGTGACAGATTGTTCCACATCATTGCTGCTCTGTATCGGTGGAAAAATGCACTGATGGACATTTTGGCTATGCTTGGAAGCTTTGATGTTAATACAAGCTGCATAACAACAAATATGGAATACACATTGAGTCATTTGTTGCCAAAATAGAGGAATAATAGAACAGAAGAAACTGATAAAAAAAACAATCTAGCTTTCAAAACAAAAGGTTTTAAGGTCATGAATACATTCTGCAAGGAAAAACATTAGATGCATCATATCATCTTTATTATAAAATAATGATATATATACAATGAAAACTACAGATACAGTTAAGACAGGCATTCAACCTTTTTATATTTATTTAAGCATGCAATTGATCATTGTGTATCAACCTATATCCACCTTTTGTCTAAATATAAATGATTGATAGTTATCTTTATCAATACAGGAAGTCAATCTAAGATCAAGATCACGAGAACACGTCTGAAAACAAATAACCTATACTGTATATCACAAGACAACTTTACACATACACTCATTAAAAAAACAAGTAAAACTGTACAGTCCTTCCGTTGTTAATCTCACTTTTTGCCCGAATTGAAATGTCATGTTTTATCTACATCTCTCCTCGCTCACTTCAAGCCACAGTTAAGGTGTGAGAGCAAGTAGTTGGAGGTGTTAGTAAAGACAAATGTTCCCATTATGCAGATTTCCTCCTCTCCAGAGTTTTTATTGCCTTAACAATTCCCTGCTGCTGGTGTGAAGTGATATTAACTCATCACAAGGTCCATCTCACAATCCTTAGTGATGCATCATTCAGCACTGAAAACACGAGGCTGCTGTAAGATACTTTGCTCAATTAGTTTATTCAATCATTTATTCCGCTCAATAATTCATCTCCCTGGAATGCTACAGACTCTGCCGTCCGTCATAAAAAGTGTTTGTCTCCCCCTGCAGGCGGGTAAGGTGCGTAAACATGTGTCGGAGCAGGAGAAGGCAGAGGAGGGTCTGGGTCCAAACATCAAGTCCATCGTCACCATGCTCATGCTGATGCTGCTCATGATGTTCGCGGTCCACTGCACATGGGTCACCAGCAACGCCTACTCCAGCCCCAGCGTGGTGCTCGCCTCCTACAACAACGACGGGTACGGATCAAACATGCACACAGTACACTTCAGCTCTTATTATATTAACCACCAAGTCATTTTTTTTTTAAAGTAAAGTCATTTCAAAAATACAGAAAAGATTGGATTGCTCCACCTTGCATTCAAATGAGCGCACGTGTGTGTGTGTGTGTGTGTGTGTGTGCGCACGAACACAGAGCAGCAGGATAGAGGCAGCACATTTATATTTCATGTTGTGGAAATATTGATATGTGCACCTATGAGCTTTAATATGATTGCTTTACTTAGTGTTTCTGGGTCACAGAAAAACATCTGTGGACCGTCTCTGAATCTATAAAAAAAAGCTGATATATTATTCTCTCTGATTCTTTACAGGCGTAATTATTCTCTTAAGCATCAGGGAGGAAATATTGAAGGCCAACACTAAGTGGTGGTTGCAAGTCCTCATGCCTATATTAATGCTACCACGGCAGTTCTCAGACAATGGTTTTAGCTGTCACTCTGCTCTCTCACGCACACACACCTACACAGTCACGCATAAAAGCACACACACACACAAGCATAAGAAATTATTACCAAACCTAAAGTTAATTGGTTGTTTGGCTTTACGTCTGCTCCTCGAGGTAAATATAGGACATGAGTGTTCAGAGTGTGAGCTGTTTTTTAACCCTCGTTTTATTATGCATGGGTGGTCTATTTTCATCTATTTGTGCCCTTCTGGAAGTCTTGACTGAATTATTAATTGCCTCCGAAGCTTCATGTATATACCTGTCAACGCTGTTACCCGTCAACCTTACTCTCTTTGTTAGGACCCGCAACATCCTGGATGACTTCAGGGAGGCGTACTATTGGCTGAGGCAGAACACGGAAGAGAACGCTCGCGTCATGTCGTGGTGGGACTACGGATACCAGATAGCGGGAATGGCCAACAGGACCACACTAGTAGATAATAACACGTGGAACAACAGCCACATAGCCCTGGTGAGCCTCATGCCAGTTTAATTCGTCATCACTTTGCTTTCTTTCTGTTTTGATTCATTCACATGCATAAAAACCTGCAGCAGCCGCTAGATGATTAACAAGCTCCAGTGATTTATTTCTTTTTATGTAGACCGCTCCTTCCAGCAAGCCAGATAATCTTGTTTGCTCAAACTATTCCCATTGAATCTACACTGTAGGGGAATTGCAGTTAATTGTTGTCAGATTCAGCAGGTTTGATTTATGTGTTGTATCTCTCTGCTGCCAAATGTAGTGGAATTATTTTGTCTTTTAGTTAAATCTGCGAAGGCTCTGTAGCGTTGTTCTCTCTTGCTTCCTACTCCAGCATCTGTCCACAGGAAATGTAATTACACAGAAAACAAGATTGATGTCTCTTTAATAAACCCTTCTTATGTTCCTTTCCCATTGCTGTATTGAAGCATCCTGTCTTGTAAACTCCAATTAAAGTACGACTTGTCGCTCTTCTTTGCCGTTTTTTTTTTAGGTGGGGAAAGCCATGTCTTCCAACGAGAGCGCAGCCTACCAGATCATGAGGTCGCTGGATGTGGACTACGTGCTGATCATTTTCGGAGGTGTAATCGGTTACTCAGGTGACGACATAAACAAGTTCCTGTGGATGGTGAGGATAGCAGAGGGAGAGCACCCCAAGGACATCAGGGTGAGTTTCTGACCCGCCTGTCACTGCAGCTTTTCTCCAGGAACTCTCACAGCAAGCACTTTCACAGCAAGTGAAATCAATGTAGCCCGATTCACTCTTACACACTCGCTCTCTGTAATCATCCCCACAACAGACTCTGTTGAGACCACTGTCGTGCTTTCCTGACTTGTTTTCCGGGACTTAAAGGCTAACACTGAATTGCTACTTTTCTTATCATTGTGAGAAAATACCACTTTTCAAGTTTGTCCCCATTTTAGTTTGTTTGCTGTCCTGAAATAACAGCATACAACTCGAGTAGGAGTCACGAAACCATTTCTGTAGATTTACATGCAGTCAAGACACGGGTTTTTCAGAGAAACAAGAACATGTTGCTACTCACAAATCCACCATTATGTACCATCCATCATCTCTAAAGATCATTCATTATTTATCAGTGATACAAAAACGTAAGTACCTGCACAAACACTGATTGAGGAGAAGCTGGATTTACATACTTTTCGATTAATGTTGTGAATAGCAGCTGTAGTACTACATCACAGAACAACATTTTGACTATTATCTTTCTCCTTGAAGGGCAGTTAACTCTAGAACACATAAACACATTTTTTATTTTTTTTTATTTATTTTTTTATTTTTATTTATTTTTTTATTTTATTTTTTAGGATGATTTTCAACATCTGTCCAGGGACTACAGATGAAAAATACCCTGTTGGTTAACTCTGGCGCATTTACAGAAATGTCAATCAATGTGCACTGTCCCTGTCAAATAAATAAATAAATAAAATAAACAGCAGGACAACACAAGTGCTGGTACCTGAGCTGTACCCACTGTTAGTAAATGACCACGGTGTATTCGTGAACGGTGTTATGACACTGACCTTATCCTCCCATACTTTCTTCTCGTCCCCTTCAGGAGAGCGACTACTTCACCCCTCAGGGAGAGTTCAGAGTGGACAAAGCCGGTTCACCAACTCTGCTCAACTGCCTCATGTACAAGATGTCCTATTACCGATTTGGTGAAATGCAGGTTAGAAGAGACTCTCTCATCTAAGATTCTTCACATGGCAAAGAAAGATTTGCAACAACTGTGCAGGTCTTTGATCATTTCACATCTCCAGGTCAGGTCAGGGAGAAACTCCGAATTCAAAAAGATGTTATGGGGATCTACTTCACAGGCATCAATAACGTCTCCCAGCTTTGTGCCGAGATCAGAAAGTAACAAGCAGCTGCAATTGGCAAAGAAGTAAAAAAAGTACTACTGCTAGATATTTCTTTGCAGCATGTGGCTTTAACACAGAATAACAAGCAGCCGCCACCACCAAAGGTGTACAGATTCTTGCTACTGTATCTTAAAAGCGGAGCCTGCTGACAGACAGGCGGAAGAGGATTTAAGGAAATGCCTTGGGGAGCTCCTGAGGTTGGGAGAGGTGGGTGTTTGGGGGTAAATGGGATGGAGGCAGAGTATGAAGGATTGGTGGAAGCTTTCAAGTGTGCCTCGGCTACTTCTGGAAGGCAGCAGAGGAGAGATGAGAGGGATCCTTCTCTCCAGGTGCTTGCGTCCCGCTGCAGACCAACAGCTCAGCAGAGACGGGAGAATCAATGCAGCCACTATCCAGAGACAGACGGCCAGAGCTGTGTGTGGCTCACAGCACTGTTACGGGGGGGAAATAGGTGGAGAGACTGAGGCACAGAAGGAGATGAAGGACAGGAGGGAGGGGAAAAGAAATGGGAGAGTAGGAGGGATAGATTAGGTTCACGGAAACAGGATGTGACAAGGGGAAACGGAGGCTTAGATGACAACAGGAACAAGACAATAATAGATAGTTGTGGATGCTGCTTGTAGCAGGGAGAGGAGATTAAAGGATTATACTGACAGTGCATAATACAGTACGTACTATAAAGTATGTAATAAATACAACCAGGCTGTGGACATGGTATTGCCAAAAAACATCTAATGTGTGTATATCTTTCCCCTGACAATTAAATGACAAGTTGAACAGCAAGACATGCAGCTATTGTGACTAAACTGGTGTCATATTTCCCACTCTGTGTCCTCTAGAGCAGCCTGGAGGCATAAACGAAATGCCAAGGTGTCCTGTAGATGGGAACGTGGCACACAAAGGGAGAGTGAGCGTGAATACTAAAAGGAAAAATAACAACAGAAGGAAGGTAGAGGGTAGCTTTGAGGGTAGATCTGTGGGAAATCAAAAGTAAGAAGGACACAGGAAGGACTGTTAGAGCAGAATAACAGGAACAACATGCTGTGAGTGTGATGTCATGGTGGCCAAAGGGGGGAGGCTGCGCTGTTATCATGAGGCTTGTTGTTTTCTTTGGTACATTTGAGTTGAGTGTAACTTATAATGCTACTTAAATATAAGGTTAAATATGAGTTTAGCATTTGGACAGAAGACAAGCTGTCCAAAGGTAGAGCACACTAAATAAACGTTATATCTTGTTTCTTTAATCCCAATAAAACCTGAAATGTAAATGGACAAATTGTGCCACACTATTTAGATGTCTGTAGACAGGGCTAGCCTGGTTAACGGTTTGAACTTAAATTGCAATAGTTATTTCTTGAAAACAAAGATATTTAGCATGCTGCTCTATAATATGAGTCAAATGACGTGCTTTTCCGTCTCCCAGCTGGACTTCCGGACGCCTCCCGGCTTCGACCGGACACGCAACGCCGAGATCGGCAACAAGGACATCAAGTTCAAGCACCTGGAGGAGGCGTTCACCTCGGAGCACTGGCTGGTGAGGATCTACAAGGTGAAGAAGCTGGAGAACCGGGAGCCGCTGGAGCACAAGCTGCGCAGCGTGGTGTCCAGGCAGAAGTTCACCTCCAAAAAGGTAACGGGGCACTTGCTGTTTTAATGTTTTAAATACAGAATTCATGCCTTCCGGTTTTAGAAAGATGCAATTATGCTGCCCTGAATTTCCCTGGTTATTTTGCTCTAGAGGACAAGATGGCCTCTAGAGCAAAATAAAATGCAATCAAATGGTTTTCCTCGGAGAAAGGCAGAACATTTGTTTTGAAACTCGTAGAATTCTTCTTATAATTGTTCTCCCGACCGATTATAAGGCACGCAGGTGTCTTGGGGCCCCACTTAAGTTGAATTATGTAAAATACATTTTGAGAGAAACTAACCAAAGGATATTTTTATGATCTAATGGTTGTAGTTGGTCCCAAGTGGACCTTTTCGCTAGTTTTTATTAAACATTTAAGGTGCTGTTAATTTATGATCTTCCTCACCTTTCCAAATTGTTGTTCTGTACACATATGTGGTCATATTCGTAATAACCCCTTACGATGGTAAATTGTATATTTTTAATTGGGAGGGACCCCGACTCCCCCTTTCACAAACGTAGGGAAAGCTCTTTGTGTATGTTGCTCTTTAATGAATATATATAATAATGAAAGCTCTCCAAAAGTTTGTCATTAGATTTCACTTCTTTCTTCTCTTCTGTCCATTTGCCCAGACGGCCAAGAGGAAGCGTGGACACATCAAGAACAAGCTTGCCCTGAGGAAAGGCAAGAAACTGCAAAAAAAATAATGGTGACGATGAACTCTTCTAGGAAAACAAACAACTGCGAAGAAACCTCCAACAACCAATGAAGAAGAACACAGGGGCCACTTATCTGGACCTTGGTCTCCAGCGCTTCTCATTAGAGCGCCCCCGTGTGTTGAGGAAGTGTAACCTCTGGCTAGCTCCAGAACTGTTGTCCGTTTTATCCTGAGGATCTTTGTCTTGCTTTTTTCCCCCCCCCCCCGTTTTGTTCTTTCTTCTTTTTGTTTTATTACTTTGTACTTGAATGTGTGGCGAGGCATAGGGCTGCTCTGCTTGGTTCGGCGTCGATAATTTTTTTGTGGTACGTTTAATTAACTGCTTATCAGTGCGGGGATCGGGGGTGTGAAGGGGGAAACGAAAGAAGACTGGGAACATTTGCACCAAAGACCCATCGACCTTGCTCCATGGCACATGTGAACTCATTACTGAGAGTGAGGACGCGCGGGGGGGGGGAAAGCTGAGGACTTGTTCCTGACACGTGTACAGAGGACAGTATGCGGCATGGAGGAACGCCGCCGTCTGTTATATGAACCTTTTTATCATCGTCCTCTCCTTTACGTCTGCCTGGCTCCCCGACCTTCTTTTTCAACAAATTCTTTAGAAAACAAATTGGCCTAATGTGTACATATGTTATGTAAAGAATAAGTCTAAAAAGGATGATAATATATTGGATTATTGTGGTGATTTTTAAATAGGCAGTTGTCAGTTTTTCTCTTAAGTTCTTTATGTGATTGTTCTTTTGATTTCTTTTTGTTTTGTATGACTGCAAATAGAACAGTGAATGCAATAATTCTTGTACAAAGGGGCTTGAGATTTTGTTGGAAGAATGAATGTGAATTTTTACAATGTTCCCCCTTCACATCTCCCTTTTTTCATGAATTGCATAGATTGTACATTTCTGCTGCTAGGGTTTTTAAAGACGGAAGCAAGCAACTGTGTGTAAAAAGTAGTGATAATGAATTAGGCTTCCCTTCCTGCAGAGGGAGCTCTCTAGTTGAACGTGCAGAGCCTAGTGCCTCATCGCCGGTCACCATCGCCTCGGTCCTCTGGGACTCTGGTAGTTTTTCTTTCAGCTCATCATATCTCTTGAGTACTCTCACCAAACTGAGGCGTTGGCAGTGACTGGTGAACTGTGAAGGGGTTAGTTAGTTAGTTAGTTAGTTAGTTAGTTAGTTAGTTAGTACACAGGCACTGAAACTGAGACTAGAGAAGAGCAGAGGTCAGGAGACGCTTCATCACTTTCTGTGACTGCGTGGCTCTGTGCTTTTTAGAGCTGTGTCCTCATGTCCATACTGCATACAAGTCTAAAAAGGTTTGGTTAATTCACACTATAGTCGACCATTATTCTCAAATGATCCAATAAACAATTAGGCTGCAACCAAGGATTATTTTCATCATTGTATCTGCTGATCATTTTTTCTCAATTCGTTTTTTTGTACATAAAATGTTAATTTCTCAAGAGCCCGATGGGATTTCATTCTACTGCATTTTTGTCTTGACCAACTGCCATAACCCCTAAAATCATTTCAAATTTAGAAAAACAGAGAAAGGTTGCTTGAAAAAGCCAAAATAAGTAGCTTTTTGCTTGAAAGATGCATCACACTGCATCCTACAATTCCCATGATGCACCCCGAACGCTTTTTATGAATAGACTTCTCATCCACAATTTGTAACACAAATTTGGAGTGAGAAAAATTAAATTAAATCTGATGATACAATTGCTTCATGTGTAAAATTAGCCCAACTGACTAATTAAAATTCTAGTAATCATATTAGATGTGATGCATTCATCTGAATAGTGTAGGTGGTGTATATTATGTAATATGAGTATAAAGTAGTACTGCAAACCATCATTTTAATTGGTTGATTATTTTCTTAATAAATCCTTTCATAAAACTTCACATGGTAGAAAGAAATGCTCAATTTTCACATCGGACATATCTGATATAACGTCAAATAAATGACAAAGTAGACCAAATAAATAATTTACAAAGATGCAGCTACTTGTGCTTTAAAATAATAACTTGAACACTATTCCAATATAAAAAAGATGTTACATTTTCTTTCAGTTGACATATTAGTTAAATAGTTCCAGCCATATAAGGTGCTTTAAAGTTTGGACACAGCTCTAAGGAGCGTAACCTTTGACCTGTTGTTCTGCGGGCACTGCATTGTTTTTGTGTCTGTTGTAAACACTACAGGTGTTTATGTATGTGCACGCTTCAGTAACTTTCATTTTTTATCAAGTGACGCATCAAAAGACTAACACATCATTGTTCTGTCACTTTCACAGAAAGGGGATTTTTATTACTATAGGCTGTTTTTGTTTTTTTACACTTTTTGAAAACATTTCTGAATCGCTTTGTTCTTCTTTTCTTTGATCATCTCTGAAACTTGAGTGTCACCATTTCAGACTTTTGACACAATGCCACATTTTTATTCAGTCACACGAACGCCTAAAACTGAGTCCTGTCCTTCCTGTTTCTCATTTGTCAAGAGAGGAGAGAGCTCAGACCAAGCCTTAATGTGATGTACAGTTTTTCGCCCTCTTATGTTTTCATTTTGTGTCGATTAGCAGCGGCAGAGCGGTTCTTCCTCGCTAAGTTTTCTCGTTTCTTAGTAGCTCAGTGCCGTCTGTCCTAACACCGTTTGTTTGAAAGTTTACATCTCCACATGTTTCTGTTCAGCCATCTTTAAATATACACTCTAATGAAAACATGTGTGTACGTTGTTGTTATTGACGTGTTTATGAATAAGTCCTTTTGAACAGATTATGAATCAGGATTATAATTGTGCAGATCTGCTGTGTAACCCAGGTGAACACAAAGCCAACCACTTGATGGCAGCATTATTCTTTAGATGAAGATGTTTTGCTTCAGAATCAGAACATCTTGCACAGACTTAATCTAGTATGACGAAAAAAAGGTATTTTTCCAGTAAACTTAACAAAAATCATTTAAAGGCACAAATAGCAATTGTAGAGAGGATGGCAACAGAAGCATTGCCATTTTGTTATTGCGTGACCTTCATCGGTTTAGGCTGTTCTTGCTCGTGTCAACCTTTTCGCACATCACTCTAGTATTCTAACTGGATGTTCATTGTCGGTTTAGCTAGCATGTTGCCATGTTCGCATGCTTCTGTTAAATAGTAACACTTCAGTTAATGCTACGTAGTGTAAAGGACTTGATCCTGCTATCGGGTACATTTGATGGCAGGAATAATCTTCAAGAGGTTGACAATTATTTGGTCACCGTTTGCAGGATTCAATATTCCACATTTTGGAAATAGCTTACTTCCCCAGTTCTTTATTCTATAAAAAATAATATCCAGTTTATTTGATTGGGACAGTGCTTCCAAACAGCTGTATAAACTCGAGAAAACCAATCATTTACTTTTCATCTGATTTTGAAAGTGTCTAAAGATTTTTTCATCTATGGAGTTCCAGAGAATATGAAGGGCCTTGATCGGTTTGTTAATAAAAAAAGGTCAAACTCCTGTTCAGTTTGAGTTTGATCCTCAAACCTACCAAGAATATTTTCTTGCTACGTGCTGTACAGGTCAGATTTTGATGATTACGTTTTCATCAGGTAAATAAGGTTTTTGGACCACAACACCACAAAAATCCAAATGGATTTTGAGGTTACGGGTGTATACAATTTACGTTCACGTTTGTGTTGTACGAGTTTGATTTGTTTTGTTGGGTAAAAAAAGAAAATTATTCAAATTTTGACCCGAGAACGATAAAGGTACAATTCCCTTCACAGCACTATTTGAGTGTAAAGTTATCTTTTCAAACGGTTTTCTAATGAGCTGGGGGACAAAGGAATACACCCGAGTGAGTCAATGACTGCCATGGCACATTTATTAAAACAAAAATGATCTCAACCTGTTCCTGCTTTGACCTTTGTGATGACAGATGAGACGTTTCATTGGTCCTCCAGCGGTGGATTGAACGGTTTTCATTTTGATAATAATCACATGGATGCAGAACAGATATACATTCAGGACATGAGAATACATGTTTATTCAAAACAAAAAAAATGGAGAAGGGTTTCATTAATGGGACAATCTTTACTTCACCAACAATCACAGTGAATTCTGGAGCCTTTCATAACAACAAACTGCTTGTTAGTGTCAGGTAAGGTAAGTGATGAACTGGCTGTAGATGACATGTTTTCTAGATGGTTACAGGGCTATTCTTTATGACAAAATAGGCATCTGGTAAATTCACCTGGATTTAAAATGATATTCATATTTGAGAATGTAAGTGAAGGAACGCCTGAGGAATCAAGCAGGGAATGCAATGAGAGATAAATGAGAAATACTTGTTTAATGAAGACAGCCAACATGGTTTGTCAAACGTGAGAGAAAGTGATTACCACGGTATTATGACCCGACACGGTTCCTTTTCTCTCCAACAGTTCCCAGGGATTGTTATTCTGCTGGATTATCCTCTCATCTTCACAGAGGCAACCTCCCAGCGAACCCCAGATGTGAGAACATGGCTGTGTGTTTTCTACAAGCCTCTTCATCCATATTCATCACCACGGGCGACCTGAGGAGAAGTATTAACTTCAAGAGGCACGGGCTGCCTAATTACACAAGTGCCATTTTAGGGGCATGAGTAAAAAAAAGATAAGAGGACCCAGAAGCATTTTGCAACAAACAAACCAGTATTTTCTGTTTTGAAGAAGAAGGATACAAAGTGACTAATGGCTGAATTAGCTGATTTAGAGAGGTAGTAATGGAAAGCGTCTGTTTTACAGAGGCGTCTCACTCCACGGGTGGAATATTTTAAATGGAGCAAATATAAAAACACAAAGAGCATGTGTAACGGACAGTACAAGATGGAAAAGAAGCCATTAAAATGTGCCCAGATACATTCATAGTGCAGACAAAACAATCCTTTACTTTCTAGAAGCTCACTGTAATGATAATATATACTAACACATTACCTAACGTAGTACATTTAACTCTTTACTCATATCTCATTTAAACGTGGTTAGGTGTTCTTACTTCCTGTAAAGCTTTTAAAAGACCACCCTGATTAGTAAAAGCCATAGATATAAAATATTAAATATATTTCTATGATAAAAGTGCTTTATAACAACTCTTTACAGCTACAGTATTATGTGTTACTCGTATCAACTCATTCTAACGCTGCGTTACAAACTAAAAGCTTGGAACCAAACAATTACAATGTCCGGAACAAAAAAACAAAACACCAGTGGCAAACTTCATTACAGTGCATGTGCAAAAAAAGGCCTTGGCAAGGTGTAAAATAGAAATACTCTACTTTGATAGTAATACTATTAACTGTATATAAAACGTACTATAGTCCCAAGAGGTCCAACCACCATCTTGGTTTTAACAGTGGAAATCGCTTTGGCACCTTGCTTGTTTCCTTCATGTGACTCCATGGTGTCACTGAGAGGCTGCAGCTCAGGTCTGAAGGTCATGGCTCCCTTCTCTTGACCTCTGACCTCAGTGTGGAGGGGGATCTGTTATTGTCCGTCAGTAGAGACCGTTGATCTGCTGTCAGGTAGACTTCCACAGTGGGCTGTTGTAGATCCAACCTTCTCCCTGCGTGTGTGTGAGAGGAGAACAAATGGAGAATTGGAAATTAGGTAAGTGAGAAAGTGTCTGTCGTTTGTTTTGGTAAATTAACAATTTAAAAAGACCACAGAATTTGTGTTGGTACTTAGAAGCTACAGTATATAGTGTATACATATATATGTCTTGTCCTTTTGTACTGTTTTAAGCTTTTGTAAGAACTTTTATGAATTGTAAGGTGTCCTTGGGTGCTTTGAAAGGCTACTCAAAATAAAATGTATTATTAAAATCTCAAAATTGTGGACACAAGAAAAAAAAAAAGTTATTGATATTTTAAAACATTTTTCTTTTGTCTCCCTTTCAGGGGTTCTTCTTTTAAATATGAATGCATATATGATTTTTTTCTTTCTTAAAAAGTCCCTTGTCTTTTCAATAGCTTCCATATTATGTGACCTAATGACTCGACTAGACGAAAGTCACATCTTTTTCTATTCTCTATTATTACCTTCATAATATATGATGCTGTTTTTATTGAAAATTCTTGATTCTCCATGTCATGTAACCCAGTGACTCCACATCAATGCAGGATTGTATTGCTACTTTTTGATATAAATATTTTAATGATCAGTAATTTATCATCAATCTATATCATTAATTTGTGACGAATACAAAAAAAAGCCTAACACAACATCCTTCTGTTATATAATTAATTGTGTGTATTTTGTTAGATTCCAAATGGCAGACTAAAAATGAGCAAAACACTAGCATCAGATATCTGCGATAATATCTGAATCATGCAATTGCAATGTAAACATTTACCACAGTAAATACTGTTTTGCTATGTTTCCTACACCAAGTGCAGATAGTGGACATCAAAAACGTCATCAGCCAAAAACCATGGCAACAACAAGCCCCCCTCCCCTGCGGCCCAGCCTTATATCACAGCGTTGTTTATCTCCTCCACTGTACCTCTTTAGTGAAGTATTTGGGGGTCCAGGGTTTGTTGTCAGCTGTTCTCTGCCTCTCGTCTCCTCTCTGCCGCTCCTCCAGCCGGTGTTTATGCTCCGTGGCCTTGTCGATGTTCGCGTCCTTTAGCGACTTGGTGACATGTTGCCATAACCGCCTAAAGGCAAAAGTAAAACACACAACAAGAACATTTAAAAGCTGCCATATCCAGAGCTGGCAGGTAACTAAGTACATTTAATCAAGTACTGTACATAAGAACAATTTTGCAATACTTGTACTTTACTTGAGTATTTCCATTTTATACTACTTTTTTTCTTTTACCCCACTACGATTCAGAGGTGAATCGTGTACTTCTACTCTACTACATTCGTTACTTTACAGACTTTGATTAATTATGTGAAATATAATCAACACTTAAGTCAGACTTTAGTTACACTTCACAAGCTAGCCTGCAGTATACAAAGTCATTCAAACTAGCTACTCCTTTACCAGCTTTGATAACACATGAATGCATCAATAATTATGATCAAACCACATCATATATATCATTCGGAAATGGACCAATTTGCATAATAAGTGCTTTTACTTTTTGTATTTTGATCCTGATACTTTTGTACTTTTACTTGAGTAACCTTTTGTATGCAGGACTTTTACTTGTAACAGCGTATTCCTACACTCTGGTACTTCTACTCAAGAACAAGATGTGAGTACTTCTCCCACCTCTGGCCACATCTAGCAGTACCCTACTTGTTGGAGAAAAGCATTAATATGTCACCTGGATTCTGTCCTTGACTGTTTCTCGGCAGGCCGCAGCTTCTTCCTGGTGACCGGGAGCTTGGTGGTGTCGATCACTTTGGTCTCTCCGCTGCTGTAGGTGAACTCCAGCGTGCCGTTCCACTCGCCCTGAGCTTTGCACACGATGGTGTTGGTCGGGTTGTGTTTGACCTCGGCCGTCACTCTGAGTCAGCAAAACAGAGACATTGTCGTTGGGAATTGTTCTGTACGTCATCTGTATACCTGCATTCGGTGCATTGTTAAATCTGATAAATAAAATACCACATTGCTCACAAACACCAGCTATAGATGTTCTTGATTATGAACCCTGTCTCCTAAGTTAATAATTATAAACTACAACTGATTTTAGTTCTAAATGTAGATAACGTTTTACCTGCATTACGTTTTGAAGTTGTTCATTAA